CCCAAGTTGTTCATATGTCAGATCGGTTGTAACGTGAGGTCCACTGTAGTTGATTCTTCTTGCAGTGCTAGCAAGTTGAGAATCAGTGATTCTCAAGAAAGGTGATGTGCACTAGAATCCAGGAGGGCAGGAAGAACCCTTTCACTTTGTGTCCCCACATCTCTATAGACTGCCTTTGTGACTTGTGTCTTGGTTCCTTCTCCTTCTAATGGTAATTATTACTGGTGGGACATGTTGTAAGCAGCGTGAAGGCAAAAAAAACAAAAGCCACAAAAGTGCTGAGCCTCTGAGTGGTGCAGCTGCCAGAGCACACCCGAGTAAGTTTGTAATAATCTGGGACCTTACTATGTGGCATGTAATATGTCTCCTAAGAATCTGATTTTCTTTGCATGATAGGAAGAAATATGCTGTTTTATTTTCCTTTTTGTATTAACTTCCATAAACACCCATTTTAGGTTTCTTAGGAGTAACTTCTGTTTTTTCTTAAACAACTTTATTTTTTCTCTAGCTCATGTTTTTTTCCCTCTTGTCCCACTGGTTTTTTTACATCTGTTATTTTTAGTAATACTGTACATGTCAGAAACTTTTGAGTGGTTTATTTTTGGGTTTTTTTGAGACGAGGTCTTGGTTTATAGTACAGGCTGGCCTTGAACTCATCATATGACCCTGGCTGGGCTTGAATTCACAGCAGTTCTCCTGTCTCAGCCTCTACCACCTCTGGCCTTTTGAGTGTTACTGAGTATAAATAATAGTGGAAGAAAATAAATATAGATGAATGAATTTTGTTTTTATTTATCTTGCTAGGGAGCCATTGAATCCCTTCATTTGAAGGCATGTAGTATGAGCCATTATATCTTTGAACATTGCCTCTCCTGTATTCTCTACATTACCCTCATCAAGGAGTCTGATGAAACATCTGAAAACCTCCTTGTTACACTCTCTTCACATTTTCCTTCTGTCTGTCTTTGCTGCAATCTGGATAATGTTTTGGGTTCTGTCTTCTAGTTTACTGATTTTCTGTTTGGATTGTAATTTAGTTAGTATAGTTTTTAATTTGTAGATTTTTATCTGATTCTTTTAAAAATAAGCTCTTGATAGTCACTTTTTCCTTAATATTTTAAAATACTTATATCTTTAAACAGGTAAAACATACTTATTGTATGTTCTGTACTTGATAATTCTTTAATTCGTAAGGATCATTGAACATCTGATTCTGAGATTGTGTCTCAGTCTTGATAATGGTGGCTGGTTTACTTACCTATTTTGAGTTTTGATTCTGTTTGTTGGTCCCTTGTCTGTGGAAATTGTTTACTTCTGTAGGCATCTGGGTACATCTAGCCTTGGACCAGTTTAGACTAAATTCCCCTTGGCTACTGTTTTTTGTTTGTTGTTTTGTTTTTGCGGAACTGGGGATCAAACTCAGGACTTTGCGCTTGTCAGGCAGGTGCTGGCGCCACCAAGCTAAACCTTTTAATCAAACGGTTACAGTTAATAGTCTCCATGGTTGCCTGAGGGCCAGAAGGTGGCAGTTCTTCTCTACCTTGTTTCTTGTGTGTCCTGCACAATGGTAATTCTGTTGTGGAATACATTACTAAATGTTGTATTAAAAATGCAGTGGACTCATTAGGCAAATACTTGTGGAAAAATCAGGTTGAATGATGTAAACAATTTTTTCACAGCAGAACCTCTCAGGGTATTCACTAGGCAAATAAGAATCTTGACATTTAGTATTGGTGTCAGTAAGCAGAATTTGCCTTGTTCCACTCCAGTCCCTGTAGTGGTGTATAGATGTGAGCATTTCATGGGGCCAGTGAGACCAATGGAATGCGCTTGAACAAATAGAGGCTGGTGTGTGTGTGTGTGTGTGTGTGTGTGTGTGTGTCTGTGTCTGTGTCTAGCTTGTATTCAAACTCCTGAGTGAAGATGTGATTGTATCTGGTAATCCTTAGCCTCAGAGGAGGACATTGCAATCGAGGATAGCTCTTGTATCAGGCCATCTCCTAAGCTTCTGGTCAGTTTTCTTCAGACCAATTGGACCAGGAACCTAGTCATCCAGAGTGGTAGATACGTAAGACTATTTTGTTTGTGTGTTTTCTGTCTCTTGCAGTTGAGTATAAATGTCCTGAGATCATGTATTTCTACTTTATCATTGTTTCCCTACTGAACGTTGGAAGTGATGTCTGTTTGGGGCTGGGTCCCACATGTGCGTTAGCCTCTCGGCTTGTCAAGCCTCACGGTCACCTGTGGGTGGGGCAGTGTAACCAGCAGTCCTCTCACATGGCTTGTTCAGTACGGGTGGTTTCCTTTTTGCATCTTTCTGGATCCCACAGTGTCTTTGGAATAAAAATCAACTCTGCCAGGCTCTGCAAACATCCCCAATGAAAAGTAAGTTCTCTTAAATGTCTCCCTGTTAAAAAAATCATTTCCTCCTTTAAGATTCACCTCAGATGGCATGTTCTTGGTGAAGTTGTAGTTTTCCTCAGACACAGTTACTGATTCCAGTGTTGATATTTCATGTACACATCTCAAGATGTGCCTCTTTGCTCATTTTTGTCTTTCCTGCCAGACTTGAGTTCACAGAGAGTAGAGATGGCCTAGTCACCTTTCCATTGCTGTGACAAAATACCTGGAGAAATCAGCTTTAAAGAAGGAGTTTTGTTCTGGCTTATGACAACTTCTGTCCACACTTGGCTGGCTCCTGTTTGGGGGCCTGAGGCAAGGGGAGAAGGGTAGGGGAGAGAAGAGAGAGAAGGGTTGGGGACAAGATAGACCCTGCAGGGCCTACCCCTAAGAACCCACTTCCTCCAAGTAGGCCTCGTCTCCTAATGTTTCCATCTCTTCTTAACAGTGCCATCAGATTATGGCTCTATCAATGGATTAATGCACTGAGACCTGAGCCCTCATGATTCAGTGACTTCCTAAAAGCTCCTCTTTGAACATTGCTCATTGGGACCAAGCCTACTGTTGTAAGCCTTTGAGGGGGGGCATTCCCTATCCAAACTCTAACAGGAAGCTTAAGTAATATGCTCAGTCAGTTAGGACCTGCTGTTAGTCTATCTAATGCTTGGAGACAGAAGGGAAGGAGAGTAGAGGGGCAGTCTGAGTATCTAGAAGACGTTTTGATGTATGTTAGATGCGTGCTAATGAAAGAGCAGTTGGGGTCAGCACTCAGCCATGATCCATTGAGCTGCTCTGACAAGCCCTTTCCCATTGGGCGAGTTTAAGATCGCAGTAAGCTATTAGCTAGCTGTTATCCCTTTTTATAGCTGAGAAGACGAAGTGAGTTCACCATTGGCACATTTGTCTAGGAATGGAAGATGTTCACAAAATAGTTCATGGTGGAGGAACTGGGTATGCACCAGTCCTGTCCTGTGCCTGGTGCACTGCCCAGTGTGCCCACCCGTGTCAGACTGGGCATGAGCTCTGTGGACATTTTCCTCTTGGTCTCGGGGAAATTCTGTCCAAGAGAGCATGGTTCTATTTTAAAGGTGGAAACCATTGAGAAATTAATAAACCATTAATAAATCAATGCAATGCTAACTTAAGCCAATGTTGGAATGTGTTTTCTCTTTGAACTGAGGTGTGTATTTATAGACATTCAGTTACCTTAAATATTCTTTTTATTCTAGTTTCAAATAACATCATAAATAGTTGCTATATCTTAGAAATCACTTAGTACTTACCTCACCCCTTGCAATCAGTTCTATTGATACCCATTTCATACATGTGTGAAGCAAAGCAAACAAGTTAGGTGTCGTACCATAGGTCACGTAGCTCATAAGTGCTAAACGTGTTTAGAACTTTAACATTAGGCCTGCAGAGTCCAATACTCTTAGCCAGTGCTCTCTCTTTATATATTGTAAATATACAGATGATAACCATACAACTATTGTAAATATTCTTGGTACTTTACTTGAATATTAACTCCTGCGAGTCTATAATGATATGTATAGTACATTGCTATTATGTTATAACCTGTGCAGCTTTTTCTTTCTTTACTATTTGATGTAATTCTGTTATAGAAACATTATAAAAGGCTTAAAAGTACTAGATTCTTCTGTGTGGGGGGAACGTTAATTTTTACATACTGTGTGAACTGAAAAGTCTACATTTTGATAGGATTTGGGGAATGAAAAAATCCAATAGCACGTTGGTTTTTCACTGCTGGTAATAGTCTAGTGACAGCTTGTGTTAGAGGATCTGGGGAGGTGGCATGTGTCTGACCTGACCCTGAAGTTGGGACTTCCCAAGGGTGTGCGTCTTAATTGGAAATGAGTCACCACTTTGATTATGTTTTGCCACTGATCAGACAATAAGCCTTTCTTTTATGGCTGTTGGGGGCTTTTATATTTCTGTTGAGAGCAACTTCTTAAATTAAGAACACAAATCTATTCAAGGCAAAATATTTTGAATCTTTAGAGACAGTTGTTGACAGTTCCATTATCTTGTATATAAAACATTTATCCTAAAGGTGAATACCACATTGCACTCTAGAAAATTGTAAATAGAAGCGTAGATTGAAAATAAAAACAACTTGTGTTCTACAAATAATTGTGAAATAAAAAAAATCAAACCTTAGTGTTGATGGGAATAAAGTATGTAGGTTACATTGAATAACAGGTTAAAAAACTTTCCTGGGGGAGTGATACCTTTAAGTTACTTTTAGATATTGAGGGAAGCATAGTTTTGTACTGTTTTAAAAAATAAATAAAAACTCCCAGCATTTTTATGTTTTGGTAATTTTATATTTACATAGTGTAGCAATAAAGACAGAGATCATTTTGGTCATGCTTTTTAGAATTTACGCTTTGTGTGGGGGGAATGGGAAGACTAAAGTGAAAAAATTTCACTTTATATTTCAGTTTATATTGCTAAAAATTAACAAATGTATTTACTTATAATGAATTATTTATCTTATGTCATGCTCATAAATTTCTAGTACTTGTTGAATCTTTAGTGCTTGAAAAATAAAAGATTCTCCCCTCCTTTCTGCCCCCCAGAAACGTGCTAAGGGACAAGTATTATTTGACAAAGTATGTGAACACCTCAATCTCTTGGAAAAGGACTACTTTGGACTTTTGTTTCAGGAAAGCCTTGAGCAGAAAGTAAGTGATTTCAGCTTTATTCATGTCTTTTTTAGGAAATGTTGTATTTTTTTTCTTAACTAGTTTATCTCTGTATATTTAGCCTTAAAATATCTTATGTGTTTATTACGACAAATTTTTATGTATTGTAGAAACTTGGTAAACATTTTAAAATGATCTTGTGCGAGAGGACCCCTTAAATTCTGTGTGTGTGTGTGTGTGTGTGTGTGTGTGTGTGTGTGTGTATTGGGCACTTTCCATTCATATTATAGCAGATAGAACATCTTACATATTCATTATTTGAGATTAAAATGACTGATTTAAAAATTATGTTAAATTTTTAGCTCTTGAATTCCTAGTGGAGTCAGTTCAAGAGTGTGTATATGTGTTTGTGCATGTGTGCATGCATGTGCGTGTGCATTAAAGTAGAAGATTTTCAATGGTGGGAAAATTGATATTCTGTCAAAGAGTAAGTGCAACATACTTTAAAAAATGTATTACCTGGTGGGTGTGTTGGTACATGCCCGTAATCCTAGCTACGAGGAAGGAGGCAGGAAGATTAACAAGTTTGTGCCCAGCCTGGGCAATTTAGTGAGACCCTGTCTCAAAATAAAAAGGGCTGGGGGTGTAGCTCAGTGATAGAATACTTGCCTGGCATGTGTGAGGCCCAAGATTTAAACCCCAGTGTTGCTAAAATTAAATAAAGATTGTCTTAATCATGACCTATTCCTGGCATTTGGTGCTGAATATGGATGCTGTTCAAATCCATTCATACTTTCTACATGCAGACGTGCAGTCATCTGTATGCTGAGTATTAAGCAGGTGTGTCGTAAGGGCACCCACATGTGCTTCTTTGAAGGCCTAGGAGAGTATACAGGTGTGAGCAACTGTGTGAAGTGAAGGTGCTCTTGCCCTGATGTTGGGTTGTGGGGACAACAGAGGAGGTGGATGCCAGCTCAATTCAAGGAGATCTGCCAGGCATCAGGAGTGTGTTACTGTTTGCATTCCAGGAGTTCCTGAGACACTAAATAAGAGAGTCAGGGTGATCTGATGCTTAATGTTAAGTTAGGGAACTTCAGGGTTTTCAGATTCATAAGTAAATTAAACAAACAGTAAATATTAACCACTCTGGCAGAACTCGAGTTAACCTTGAGGTCTTTCTCACCGTTAGGAAAGGGCTTTCCCCTTCACTTCTACTTCACCTCCCAGCTCTTAGGAATTACCATGGTTGAGAAGATGCTGAACGTAGGAGTGAAGAAGAAAAGTTGGGTCCAGAGTTGCACCCTATCAGGCAGCCCTCTTAGTCTATTAGACGATGCTGTGGACAGTCTCACTGGGGCCACTGTGTCTGAAGATAGCCAGTGCACCTGGTCACAGTGAAGGGAATTACTGTCCAGACATCTTTCATGAAACCAGTCAGCAGAACAGAACAGTCATTAGATGGTAGCGTAAGTGAGAATTTTGTTATTTACCTACATCCATCACTGTTTGTATTTATATATCTCAGTGATGAAATACAGTATACCAAGAATGATAATTATATGTTAATTAAATTTTCTTAACTTAGTTGTAATTCCTTAATTCTTAATTTGTAGTTTTAATTCTACATTGAGACTAATGACAAATTGTATGCATACCTGCTGAATAGTGTGCAAATATTCTTATTAGAACTCTGGAACACTCTTCTTAGAATTAATAACACATTTAACTAAATAAACTAAGTTCTTTTCTAAGGCTATAAATTATAAGGTGGTCTTGTTAACGTTTCATCACTCCCATCTCTTTGCAGCTCTCAAAGCTGCAAAAGGGAATGATGGGCATTTGACTGTCATTAGGTACTTTAATTTTTGAGGTTTTATATTGATAGATTCAAAGGAGCACTTAATCTTTGTAAAATAGGGAGACCACTCAGTATGTTGTAAAATATGTAAGATATAGTAATAGGCTCTGATGGTAGAAACAGGATATACAGAAATCTGGTATTTCTGGAACACTAGTTTTACATAAGAAAGAGTGATATTTAGATAGTAGGATTCACTAAATTTTAATTTGATAACTTCAAGTGTATATGTCTAGTTCCTATCTTATATCCAAATCTCATATCCTCTTAGTTACTTGCTGGGTTCTGGATTCTTCTCTGATTTACCTCCATTGTATATCAGTCAGGAAGGTCTCTTTGCTACCTGCTAACATCCCTCTCCTGTTCTCTTTGTCCACAGATTATGCTTTGGTTTGGACCTCTGGCATCTCTTGCTTTGTCTAATTTTTTTGCTTTGTACCTGGACTGATAGGTCCCAGGCACTTGTGATCCTATCTGATATTGTACTGGCTGGCTTAGAACCAGTTTAGTGGGTGCAGTCTTACCCCGAGTGTGGTTTACACAGTCCTTGGTCATGTGACCTTAGTCCACTTGAGCATCACTTCTTAGTTCTCTCATACGCTATCTATATTTAATACAGACCAAATTACTCTCTGGAATGAGTCTTGCTGGTATATACCGCATCTGCTTGCACAGTGTTCTTTACATTTAGAATGTCTTTCCCATTTTTTTGCTATTTGAATGCCTGTCTTTCCTTAAGAGCCACCCTGAGTATCCTACCCTGTGAGGTTTTCCTTTGACTGCTTTTCACCACCCTCATTCCTGCCCTGAACTCGGGGAGTTGACTGTTCCCTCTGTCTGTCATCAGAACAGCTGGTACCAATGTGTGCTTGTTACCCTTTCTCCACATTACTCTGTGATTGCACCTGAAATTGGAATGCTGAAGTCATGAAGTAGAGAATTGTGTGATGACAAGTCCCAAGGCTTGGCTGTGGAAGGGATGGCTGAAGTCAGGAGAGGTAAAGGGTGTTAAGGTGGAGAATAGGGTAAGGATGGGCATGGATGGCTACCACAGCATTCTCGCTGACCGAAGATGCTAGCCATTTTTTACCTAGCTTTATTTAAACTCAACTTCAGGGGAATAAAGAGTGTTAGCAGTGTATTTAATTATTCATATATAATTAATTTGCTTTCATAACTTTTTGCATTATATAATTTTTTATTCCTTCTTGCTTATGTAGACAAGATCCAATCCTCAAGATATGTAGGCAGAAGAACTTTTATTCTTCCAGTGTAGGTTTGCATAGTATTATATTCTTTTTTCCACAGAAAATTATTACTGTTACACTAACTTAGCTTAGTTTTGCTTTGTTTGGAACCCATACAGTTTCAACATTAGGATACAAAAGTGTAATCATTTTTTCTTCTGTCTTTTTCCTTTTTTGGTGCTGAGGATTGAACTCAGAGCCATATGCATGGTTAGGATGTACTTTACCGTTAAACCATCCCACTACTCAGGGTCTGTCTTTTCCATGTTAAATATCATCTGTATTAACAGAAGTTTCAGATACTTATTTCAACCAGTTGTAAAGGTGAAACAAAGCTATAAATGCTTTGCCTGAAAATTTTACATGAAAAACACCTAAATTGTCCTTTGCTTTCAGTATAGTACTGTTTGTCATGGTTGAAATAGTGAGTTGGAAACCTTTCAACTCATGGTGAATCTGAAAACTTGTCATCATTGGGGTTAGAACCCTTTAATGTCTGTTTAAAAATGCTTATGTAAACTTTATTATGGAAAATGTTGTTAAAATATGTGGAATCAGTATGTTATTCTTTTCTATATGGAATCCCAAGCACATGTCATTCTTTTATTCATGTCTAAATGGAACCATTGTTAAGGGTTCTGGACTCTCTTTAAAGGGAAGAATATTGTCTTGACTTTTTGATATTAATAGAGTTTGGCATTTGGCCCAGGCACCATATTGTCATTTTGCTGCATCCCATATTGAGAGAGGCACTTTTTAGAAATGTAGTTGATACCCACAGCTAACTATGAAAATTAATTAAAGCATTTGTCTGATAGCCAAACCATTCCCCCCCAGAAATAGAACTAAGTACTCAAATACTAAACTGTTGGCACATCTGAACTATTTTTAAATAAAATTCTATATTCATTCCAGTTAAACTTTATAATCCCACATTCTCCCAGATGTATAGTGAATGTTTCACTGTGATATTGAAAGCCTATAACTTTTCTCCCACCACCAGCAGTATGATAGAGTTCTATGAGACCTAATTTAGCCACATGTTTAGATTAAAGGGAGTCTGTTTCAGTGCCGTAAATTCCTTTGGGAAAACGCAGATTTAAGACAAAACTACTTTGATACTTTTCAGCATCACTGAAATACAGTGTGAGTTGGGTTGGATTTGTTAATTTCTCTTACCTGGTGAAATTGGGGAGCACCAAAAACAAGGCATGGTTAGGTATTTGGAAAAATTTCCAACTCTGTAATCTTAGGATTTAGCCTGAAAGGAGAATTAGGAGAAATAGGTGCTTTTTAGGGAAAGGAGTTGTTAACCAGGCACTCCAATGCTTGTTAAAACAACAAGGTAGAGTTTATTTGGGACTATGGAAATAGGTATAAGGATGACTGCAGTGATGTTTTTCAGTAGGCAAGAAAGATTGGGCTCAACTCTGAATATAAGAAAAGTATGAATTTATAGTCAAGGAGTAGAATTGGGGGTCAGTGGATAGAAAGTTACAAAAGGAAACACTAGGGCATATTTGGGGAGTTCTGGCCAAATGACCTACTAGAATTCTTGTTGAAAGCAGGCCAGGGTCATCTGACAATGCCTGCCAGATGATGGTAGATGAAGAACATACTCAGATACTGAGGGCCACCAGTATCAAGGATGGGGATTCTGGCTAACCCAACCTAATAGAAGATTATTGCTAAGATTGGATGATACATGGATAGATTAAGAAGTGCAAAAGTTGAGGCCTAGTAGGGATGCGGATTTAGAGGAGACTAATTTTAGTCAAGGAGAGTCGCTGTGAGAACTAGAAGATGGGTATTGTAAAGGCATATTGAGTTGTCATTGGGTCTGGCATGATTGGAACCTTGCGAAGGGCAGCTGCACACTCGGGCTGCTGCTGGTGCTGACTGTGGTTGCCTGTGTCTGTAAGGTGTAATTTGCAATCTTCTAAGGCAGATTTTAAAAAAAATTCTTTTTGGTGTTGTAGATTCCTTTAGTGTCTAGTGAATTCATAGGTCACTTCTCAGAATACTGTTTTCTTTTTTTTTTTTTCCAGAATACTGTTTTAAATGTAGAATTCTTATATAATTAAGCATGCAGGACTACAAAGAAAGCCAGTAAATAAGTAATTTCCTCAAAATATTAATAAGAATTTGGAATAAAGTAATAGAGATATGTTTTGATTAATATATTAATCATCAGTATCTAGTTTGATTCCTACAGTGCTTTCAAAATATTTGTTAGCATACATGGTGTTTCAAGATCTGCAACTAGTATAATGTGATATGGTAGTATTTTTTATTTCTGCGGGTGACAAAGAAGTACTGTTGATATTAAAAAGGCTTTTCTTCCTTGCTACATGTAGAATTAATGGTAATGTAAATTTCATTTAGAAGTTAGTGAAAATAAAGGTGTAGCAGATTTTTCCTCCAAGGTGAATTTATTGCCCTTCTGACTTCGTGTTCTGATTTGATTTAATAGTTCTGATAGTCTCTGACCACATTTTAATTTACTTTGGCTGGAAGCCTATTATGGGGTTCCTTGTAATTTTTACTGATGGCATTATTTTACCCGATGTTCATTCAGAAGATGAATATTTACTGAATTTATAGTTTGGCAATGAATTGGGGTAGGTAGGGGAAGGTGAAGAAAAAGGAACCAAATTGATTGAAAATTCCTGGTTTGTTTGTGTTTTTGGTACTGAGTATTGAACTCGAGACCTTGCACTTGCGAGGCAGGCAGCAGCACCACTGAACTTTATAAATCCCTGGCCCCGAACATTTCTGTTTTTGAGTAGGTGGAGAAATACTTTATTTTTTAATAAATCAAGATAAATTTTATTGAACTGTGACATGAATTTCAGCTTTTCTGATTTTTTCATTGTTCCTTGTACCTAATGTTTGGGAAAACATTAAGGAGATCTCTGTTTTGCTTGATCATGAGTCACTTGGAGCTATCACTAAAATAGAAACTGTCAGGCTTCTGAATGTTCATGGGGGCTGTAGGTAAATCCACCTTTTACACATTTACCACATGGATCTTTATCAGGCAAAAATTGGAGAATTTAGTTAGGTATTGCTTTAACATGTACATAGAGGAGCTTAAAGTAGTCATGCTGGTAACCATTTTTATGAGAAGGGATCATGTTTTTATGTCTCATCTCTGTTTCCAAGAGGGGAGTGTTCACTGGAGTGGGCGGCTTTGGAAAAAGGCTGACATTGTCAGACTGTTTTCTCTAAGGGGAAAGGTTTTACTTTTATTTCATTTGGCCCATAAATGTAGTGACTAGTTTCTGAAACCAAAGTCTGATTAACTTTTTGTAGATATAAATACCAAATTGTTTAATATATGTAAAACATCATATTTGGAAAAAATAAAATTATGTGGTATAGACCAAAAGATAATAAACTAATTTAGTTTTATTACTGCAAAAGAAAAGAAAGGAACACCCTGATCTAATAAAGTTATTGGGTAAAGTCCTTCATATGCATATTTACTCTTCAGGAAGCATTTAAATGAATTATTGGGCAAAAACTATCTTCTCAGGTAGATGTCGTGATCCTCATTTTGCAGTTGAGGAAATTGAGGCGTAAAGAAGCCAAAGAGGGTGTCCAAGTCATAGAGCTGGTGGAAAGCCATAGATTGACTCCATGTGTTTCTGAGTCCAGAGTCTATATTTGTGACTGTAGTTGCCAAATCTTTAAGTCTAAAATATGGTTATTAAGAACCATGTGTGCCAAAGTGGATGGGTGGGAGAGGCGTGTGTGTGTGTGTGTGTGCGTGTGTGTGTGTGTGCGTGCGCATACACATGGCCTCCCACTGTCTTATTCTTTGCTGTCATTTTTCATCCTTTAGTGTCTGTTTCTTTGTCCACCACTCCCTCCCTCCCTGTCTTCCTGCCTGCCTCTCAGGATCTGTGCTAGGTGGATGCTCTCCCCAGATATGTCCTTAGCCCTCATATCTGTATGTCTTTTTTTTTTTTTTTTGGTACCGGGGATCGAACTCAGGACCTCTTGCTTGTGAGGCAGGCGCAGTGCTACTGAGCTACATCCCTGGCCCTTAATATCTGTATATCTTGATCCACCTAGCTGCCCTCACGTGTTCAACCTGACAAATTAATTTTTATTGTTTATTCACTTGTTAAGAGGTTTTATTTCTACTGTTTATTTGTAATTGGCAATGAAGAGAGAAGATAATAAACTTTGCATTTCTTTATAAAGTTATATTAAATCATTTTTAACTGTTTGAATTTATGATTCTGGGCAATAAAGTTATACTAACTACAGTCTGAGTGCTCAGAAGTAATTATTTTAGAATTGTAATACAGTAATATAACTTGTTCATTTAATATTATCACAGAATGGAGAGGAAGGAGGCATCAAAGAGCAGATAGCAACCAGCAGATATTTATTTAGTACTTACTGATTGTGTGAAGCTGGCAAGTACTGGAGGACACAAGTACTGTCATCTCCCCTAGCCCTTGCAAAGTTGTAGGATGGGGAAGGGAGATCTCCTTACTCCTTGGCAGGAATGCAGATTGCAGCGTGGAATGAATATGAGTAGGAAAAGGAAACCAGGGAGATGAATGGAAGGAGTCACTTCTACTGCTGCCGCCTACTCAGTCTTTGGGATATGGTCTAAAGTGAGAACCCACACCAACTTGACCTTCAGTGTGTCCCAGTGTCAGCATGGTAGAAAGTGTCCTGAGGATGATGGAAGCTATGTGTGGCTTGCTGACTTGTGATTCATGTTCTTAGATCTGTAGAGCCCCACTGACTCCCATGATGCCCTCCAGAAGGGTCAGGTAATTTGTGCAGGGTTTGGTGCTCTAATGAGAATAGGAGGTGCCAGCTGGCTAGCACTGGTCAATCCATGGGCTTACAGAAGGCGACGCTGTGTCCACCACCTGTTGGGACAGAGAAAGAAGCCTTTTTTGCTCTTGTGTAGGAGGCATCTGTATCTGTTCACACTGGTGAAATTGGCCATTTGGAAGGATCTGTCTTGGACCAGCATTTCCCCCTCTGCTCTCCTCTTTCTCTGTGTTAATGGTCTGAGGATTTCTTTTCTTTTCAGTTTGGCACCAGTTGCATCTGATTCCGTTTTACTTAGTGTGGTCATTGCTTCACTGTCTGCCAATGCCACACGTTTGACCCTCTTTTGCCTGTCCCTCAGCCTCAGTCCAGTCTGGGCCAGAAGCTGAATGCTGCATTTTTCTCACTTTGCGCACTCATCCTAGCTGCCACTTGTGAGCCAGCTGTGTGTGGGACAGCAGCTGCAGGCCGTGGAAGCTGAGTGCCAGGCTCTTTTCTGAGGGGAGAATTAGAGCAGCTCCCTCACATGGTACTGGACATACCATTGCAGAGCCCCACTGACTGTTCAGATCAATGGTCCCTGCAGCTGGGACGCTAGGAATGTGACAGTGGACCATGCTCTGGTGGCTCTTTATGGAGAGGTCTGGCTGCAACCAGTGTTAGGACAGAGCCCTGCACACCTTGCACCCTTGCTGCCTGGAGAGCAGCCCATGCGGAGCGTAGTAAACTGTGGAGGTCCACACCACTGCTTTCACAGCATCCTGCTGTCCCTGCCTTTTAATAGGGCAAATTCGTGTTCTGCTGTACAATTCAATACATTATAATGACAGCAGGCTCTCCTTTTTTCCTGTGTAACATTTTCCTTGCTTTATATATCTGTGCAAAATCCTGTTTAAGCACAGATATGATACATTATTTGGTATAGTTGTTAGGATGAATCAAACTTATTTATTGTAAAGTCAGTTATTTCAGTCAGTTTATTGTATCTCAAAAGTGTACTTGTTCTTTAATAGCAGGTAGAATGAACGTTAATAGAAAGTATAGGAGAACATGTATAGGACAATACGTAAATATAGACAAAAACTTAAATGTACAAAATTTTTCTTGTGGGGGTTTTTGCTTATAGCTTTGAAAGATTTAATATCCTTAGATGGTTTGACCATGGTGCTTCAGATTTGGTCTTTTGTTGTGATAAGGTGTTATAGTGGTTGCCTGTTGTGTTTTCTGATAGCTTTCTCAAAGAGCAGAAGTAAGGTTCAGATGAAACAGAGCTCCCTCCATATGATCGTATTCTCATTTGGAATGAAGTTTAAAAGACAGAAGGATATTGTACAAAGACAAGGAAGGAAGTACTGTCTCCATCCGGGCAATACCTCTCCTTTGCATGCTGCAGTTGCAGGGGAGAGAAGCTAGGGAGGAAGAGGAGCTGGCTTTAGGAGTTGAGATGATTGTGCTTGATAGGAGCGTATAAAACTTCAACTGACAGTGCACATTTTATCCTTTACGAGTAGGAACCATCCATCTGTGCAGAACTAAGTTCACTGTCCGCAGGGGTCATTTGCTGGCACTTTATAGAATAACGGTTGTATGTAGATAAATCGTGTCTCATGATTAGGTTAATGTTTGATTTCAAATCCAAGAAATTACAATCCACAGAGTTCACCTTAAAAGTATTTAAAAATTTTATTTTAATTATATATATATATATATTTTTTTGAGGGGGGGGTGGTACCAGGGATTGAACTCAGGATTGAAGTCATGCTTGGCAGGCAGGTGCTGTGCCACTGAGCTACATGTCTGGCCCTAAAAATTTTATTTTTAACACCACCCTACCACCTGCATACTGAGAAGCAAATCAATAGTTAATCTAGTGGAATTCTAACAGGTGAAAAATGGTTTTGAGTTGGGCTTTGTAAAAGTGTATTTATAGTTAAGTTGTGAAATATAAACTGTTCAGTTTTTATTTCTGGAATGTTCTTACACTGTACCTTTTAAAATTGATGTATGTTAGTAATACATAATCAGATTTATTTTGGTGTATTAGTCTGGGATATTTCTGAAGGGGTAACTCTTTTTCCCTCTTGCAGAACTGGTTAGATCCTGCAAAAGAAATAAAGAGACAGCTGCAAAGTGAGTATTTAAATAATTATACTTCTTTAGTTATTTCTACATCTATTTCCATCTTTTAATAAAATTTATAGATTACAGCCTAGAGTAACAAATAAGATGATAATAGAATGATCTATTGTGTTTTGCATTTATACCATCTCATATGTTCATGCTTGACTGTGGTTGTTAATTTTGTACATGGCTTAAGGACTCCGACCTTTCAGGAGGCTTTGGACTCCCATTCCTTCATGTTCCCTCACAGGGCCTCTCACTGTGAAGTAACATCACACCTTTTATTCCCTCTTGGAAAGAATGAGAAGCTGTTTTTCTGTAAATTTCACTCTGTGCAAGAAGACCTGACACAGTTGCTGTGTCGGTGCTTTGTGCTGTAGGCAGACGGGACACGGTTGCTGTGTCCTCGTGTGGAAGTGTGGAGCTTAATTGAGCAGCATCTGTGTGCCCTGTTCCTAGCTTCACTGGCAGAGCACTCCGGGTGAAGGGTGAGCAGAGCAGTCTCTGCAGTTCTCTGCTCCCATTTGTTCCACGTAGTCACATCAAGTCTGGGTTGTAGTTAGGCCCGTGTGCTCCTTTCCTCCCGCTTCCCATTTGTTGGGTAGAATCCCAGCACGGCCTCAGGCGTCTGGCTCCAGTGGCCTCGGCCTCCTCCGTGGGCTGTGCCTGTGCACATTGCCTTGCCCGTGATAGCTGTGGCAAGAAATGGTAGCATCACACATCTCTGATAGGGGATTTGGGAACTTAAGTTGCTTCAGGGTGTGTGATGACAGAAGCAGGGAAGGCAGGAAGCCACGAGCAGCTGGAAAGTTTGGACAGGAGAACAAATTCCTTCTAAGAGCGCGGCTCCAGAGCTTTTTGGGAGAAGCCCTCCCCTGAGAACTAACCTGCAGATGCTCTGCATCTCCCTATTTATTCATTATTTCTGGAACAAATCTCTGCTCTCATTCCTGTCCTTTCCACCTGCCTTCTATCTCTCAATTTAGCATCTCCAGTTTTATTTTCTTTTTTCTCTTTCATTATTAATCTTATTCTTCTTATCATTTCTTTCCTTCTCTGCTCTTTTATTCTGAGCATATACCTTCTTCTTTTTCTTTCTTCTTTTTTTCTTTTTTTGGTACTGGGGAATCAAACTTGGGACCTTGTGCTTGTGAGGCAGGCAGCAGAACCACTGAGCTACATCCCCAGCCTATACCTTCTTTTTCTAATCTCCTTTCCTTTATGCTCATCTTTTTTCTTTTACAAAATGTCATTGATTGGCGTGACCAGTCTTCCTGGCTTGCCCAGAACTGAGGGTTTCCTAGGTTTGGGATATTTGGTGCTAAGGGTGGAAAGGTCTCAGATGATCTGGCAGGTTGGACATCTTGTCTTATTTATTTATTATTATTATTTATTATTATTATTGCTGGCTTTCTGACATTCATTGCCTTCCTGCCTTCCTTCCCCTCTTTCTTTTGCATTTTTTATCTTGGTGTTTCATCAGTTTGTGTTTATTTCATGGTGGAAAGGGTTAGGGGAGGGGATAGATAGACCCAGGTGCATTGTCCTAACATTTTGGAAGGAACTGAATCAGAGAGCTTGGGACCTTTTGCCTTTGTCCCTTCTGTAGTTGTAGATGCTCTGTAAAGTGCCTGGATTCAGGAAGGTACGGATGCTTGGTTCTTAGTCATTCTCTGCATCCAGGCCTGCCGGGTGACCCGAGCAGAGAGAGAACAGGTCAACTCCTCACATAGGATTGATGACCCATTGAGTTGTTTTCTATGGCTTTTGTTTTGCCTCTTGTTTATGTGTGTGTGTGCCACTCATTTCAGAGTCATAGATATTTCCTGTTGGAAATTCTTTTTGGAAGAAAAATTTTTAAAGAGTTTCAAAGCTTTTAGAAAAAACTTTCCGAAAACAGTGTTTGAAAAACTTTTGGAAGGCAAGACTTGCTGATTATGAATCATGTTTTTATGTTTTGATTATTTGTGAAATATTATTTTTTTAAAGAGATACTTCGGGACTTCTGCCCTTGTGGTTTGGCAAGAGGAATAACATTAGCAGCCATTTCTTTAAATGGTATCCTGTGCTGTCTCCACTGTGACAGTAGGTTTAGGAAATGAAGTTGTGGCTATCGTATTGACCTCTTTCTGCTTGTGTTAGATGGGTGAAGGAACGCACTCTTTGCTCTGATTTTATGGTTACTTTACCTTAATAGGCAATTACCAAAGATAAATGTTAATTATTTGTGTTACCTACGACAATCCACAAACCTAATGGTTCCTATTAAAAATTTGCCTTAAAAGTATTTTCTCAAATGAACACAAAAAGGACTATATGTCTAAAAGTTTGTATATGATGAATATATAAACAGTCATACTTAGGTAGACTTTATATAGATAGCTAGGTAGAAGTATGATAGTACATAATTGAATTAAAAGTTTAACTTGAAAATTGCTAATATTGCATTTTAAGTATTCTTACCACAAAAATGATAGATATTTGTGGTAATGCATATTTTAACTTGATTTATTCGTTCTACAGTGTATACATGTTTCACACATGTTGTATATCATAAGTCTATGCAGTTTTGTCAATTAAAAAAAGAAAGCTTGGGGCTAGGGATGTAGTTTGGTAGTAGAGTGTTTGCTTAGCATTCATGAGGCCCTTGGCTGGATTCCTACTACCAAAAAAATAAATGTTTACCGTTATTGGGTTTTCGAAATATATCCTAAATTGTAAGTTTTCTAGTAGGAACACATGCCTATAGTCATATCCAGGCAAACATGTGCTAGTGTTAATACCTGAAAAACAAACAAGGTGCCATTAAGAAATGATAATCTTGTGATGATTTCACTCGATTATGGATTAGCAGTCACCTTAGAGACGTGTGTGTGCGTGCACAATGCATGGGTATTTGACACAGGTAGCATAGTGCTATAGGGCAAGAAACAGCATCTCTTTATATTCAGGAGGATCCTTATCCCCTTATTATGGTTTAAATGTGTAAACTGTTTGAGTTCAGCATGAGTGACTTTATTAGTAGAATAGTGATGCATGGAGCCAGAAATCCAGCAGAAGGACGTGTGTGTACACAGTAGCCATTCAGAAGAGATCTATTGACTTTTGAGTGAGAGAGAAGATCTTGTGCTAATGATGACAGGAGGGACAAAAGGACATGCTGAACAGGGGAACAGAATGCAAGAAACTTTCAAGTGCATAAATCAAAGTTTCCGTGAGGCCTTCAAATGGAGTAGCTTACAGAAACAGCTTTTTTGTTTTTATTTAAAAATACAGTGAACTTTGAGTAGAACTTGAAATTCAGACCAGTGAGATTATTTAAGTTCTTTTAGAAAAATTTCATCAACCCTCTCCTTGTGTTTGTTTTCCTCTCTTTCAGGCCAACCAAAACATGAGAGAGCAAAGCATTAATGTATTTTAACTTTTAATGTCATTTATGTTATAGTTGTTGGATATATTCATTCTTTATGCTAAATACAGCAAGGTATATGCAATATACAGGTATACTGTGCTTACACTTTATACACCTGGGAAACAATTTTATTATTTTAAAGTATTCTGAAGTTTTACCGCACTTTTGCTTCCTTGGGATTTCTGAGCAGTTAGCCTATGAATCATTTCCTGCATGGCCACTGTGGTCACTTGGTCATTATTCCCCTTCCCCGAACAATGTAAAAATCCTGAGTCTTGGCTCAAGATTTAGCTCAGTGGCACTGCACCTACCTCACAAGGGCAAGGTCCTGAGTTCGATCCCCGGTACCAAAAAAAAGAAATTCTGAGTTTTTAAAAATTTATTTTTAAAACAGTGTAGAGCATATTGAGCACTGGAGATCATGTACTTAAAATAAAATTTTATCATGGAGCTGTTCCTGGAGGTTATATTAATTCTTTTGCATAATAGATCACGTACAAAAGATTTGTTGAAGTACCAGTAATTATTAATAAAAAAAGTGAACTTGTTACCTTTTAATGGTTTATTTATGTAATTCATTTCTATTTTATTTTTCATTTCATTTTTGCTTTATATGATACTGGCTTTTCAATAAATTCTGCAAACTGATTTATGGTGGGATAAGGTATCCAACAAATAGCATAGTATTATTTCTTTGTAGTGTATTAAATTGCCATTCTGTTGTTTGGATTAATAACTATGGCATTTAACAATTGCAGATCCTCCCTGGCTGTTCACCTTTAATGTGAAGTTTTATCCTCCCGATCCTTCTCAGCTGACAGAAGACATCACTAGGTACTTTATATTCACGTTTAAAAACGAATCTTTACATATAGCTTTCATTCATTTCTGTGCACTGGGAGCATGGTGGTAATTTCAGGATTGAAAAACCAGATCATTTACCAGTTAAGTTTTATAAGTTTCTTTGGAAATGAATATTTTCCCAAGTTGTTGGAAGTGTTGCCAGTTTCAAAAATTTTATTCACTGTTTTCGTTTTTTCCCTTTATATTTGAATAATATTTTTAAAGATGATATTGCTGGCAACTTTGTTTCCTGTGTTCTACTTTAGAAATTGACTCATATTTAGTATTTCAGCTTTCAGTAGTAAGGTGGCTTTATTGTATAAACCATGTGTGCTAGTCTCATAAAGATGATACAAATGTAAATAGATGAAAAAAATTTTTTAAAGTCAGTTGAACTGGTTATTTTTTTGTCCTTCTTCCTCCTCTCTTCTTTCCCTCATTCCTCCTAAAAAAATAATAAAACTGAAAGGGCAGACTGTCTTAGGTAGAATCAGTAGCTGTTTCATTTTTATCTCCTCTGAGATTATGTGGCTGTAAGAACGTGTGCTTAAGTTGCAAAGAAAGGGTTCCATTTAGGAGCAAGAGTGGATTTAGTGGCCCTGTGAGTGACTGAGGGGATGGTAACCAGGGACACAAGATCAGCAAGTGCCTGGACATCTTAGCCCTGCTAGGTGGGAGAAGGGATAGATAGTTCAGCTGTGTTAGGAACAAGTGTGAAGAGTGGTTGCTATTCTCATGGCCAGGGAGAACTGTATGCAGTGTGCGTACTTTCAGAAATCAGGAGGGCCTCAGTGAAATGAAAGACTCTGCTTGCCTTTTTTTCCTGTGCCTTCGATGCTTTTTTGCTGGGCCAGTTTTGTTGTTAGACATGAAGTTGTGTAAATGCTGAAAAAAACTGTAATATCCATATGAGATTAGAATGATGGAGATTTCTTTCCAGGATTAGAAAAATAACAAACTTTCATTTTTTATTTCTTTTCTTCTTTCTTCCTTTATTGCTTGTTATGAATAGAAGTGTACTACAGTACTAATTAATTACTACTAACATACTAATTAAGCTCTGATTGAATTAACTTCAGCTAGTAAATAAGTAGCTTTTGAAACTGCACAGCAAGCTGCTTAGAGCGTATAAACACTGACAGGTTGGCTGCACAGGACATAGAGCTTCACCCCAGGGATGCTTTTCACACAGTGTGGCACACAGTGGGGCCTTGTGACCTCATGCGCTCTCCGAACATATGCTTCTCCTTGCAGGAATTTGTTTGGGGGAGTGTCTTAGTCACTTTTTTTGTTGCTGGGACAAAATATCTGACACCCACAAGTTAAAGGAGGAAAGGTTTATTTCAGCTCACAGTCCATAGAGGTTTCAGTCCATAGTCAGCTGGCTCCAAGGCAGGGTGGTATGGCAGAGGGAAATCGCAGAGGAGAAACAGTCCATGGCAGGCAGGCAGGAGACAGTGATGCAGCAAGCAGCAACAGCAAGCCTGCCTTCCCTTATTTCCCCTTTTAGTCCATCCAGGCTCCAACCCTATTGATTGGTGCCACCCTAAACAGGGTGGGGTCATCAATCCCAGTATCACACTCTTAATCCACATTCACACACCCTAACCCAGCCACCTTTAAAACTCCCCACCTGTGAGCACATGAGGCTTTGGGGGGATATCTAGATATAAGCCCTAGCAGGCATGACAATCCTTTTGTGATTGCAACTCTATTGCATTGATAAGAACTTTGATTTTTCATATAAATAGGACTTGAATAATCTCCCCTTGTGACCTGGTCCATGCTTATAATCCTAGCACTCTGTGAGATGGAGGCAGGAAGATCACAAGTTCCAGCCCAGCCTGGACAACTTAGTGAGATCCTGTCTCACTAAAAAAAGAAAAAGAAAGTAGGTGGGGATGGTGGGCGTAGCTCAGTGTGAAGGCCCTGGATTTAATCTCTAGTACCAACAGGGGGATAAAATTCCCTGTCTGTCCTGGGAGGAATTTCTTGTCTGTCATGAAGGGAATGAGAGGCTGCTGTGCTAACTGAAGGCCTCAGTGGCACGTGCTCTACTGGGGCATGGCAGGGCAAATGTCAGGATTGAAATCTTCACCATGAGTTGAGTGGACATTTAGAAGGAGGCGTAGGCCCAGAGCACTGCTCAGAATAATGTTTGTAGAATGCCTAGCTGTGGGACTGTGATGATGATAGCTGGAGTCCCTGCCCTCTCTGGGTGGTAATTCAGGGGTGACTGAACTAAACCATGGGGTGGGATGTGCTGCCCTTTGCACTGATGACGAGGCCTGAACATGTTGGTAGACAGCAAGAAGAGTATTGGGCCTTAAAACCCAGGAAAGGCAAACATGTCTACAGGAAGAAAGTGGTCGGTGGAGATGACAGTCTCTAAGAAGATCTTCAGGCATGGAGGTTCTGTCATTTTTCAGAAAGGTTAGTGGAGACCTTAGCAAGTAGTGAAATTTCAGAGTAGAAATCCACGTGTTACCAAAAGGAATTAATAGTGGGACCAAAGAGAAACAAGAAATCCCCGTAGGATATAAATCACTTTTCTGCATTTTATTTTAGTGGAGAACAGAATTCTTTTATCCTGCAGAGTCAGCTGCTTGGATCACTGAGAATAGCTATTGTTATTCTAGCTACTAGCTATGGATTCCCAGATATTTTATTTATATTATCTTTTACTCTCATCTTCAGAGGAAGGTAGAGCTGTTGCTTTTTAAAGGCAACAAATTAGCACCAGCCCAGTGAATGAACTTGCTCAAGTTCACATAGAGTCAGTTCTTCCTGACTTTAGGGCCCCTTCTACAAAACAGAGCCTACTGCCTCTTTAGACAAGTGGACAAGCAGGGTTTCAGAGTACATTTAATCAAACTTGCTGGTAAGGTGTTGCAGGAAAGGAAGAAATTACAAATGATTAAAACTGCAGTGACTTTTGTATTTCATTAATATTTAAAACTTTGAAGAGCTGCACAAATTTTTCTTTCATTTTTAAATCCAAAAAGACAGTTGAAGTGGTTGAAATATTTACATTGGTCAGTTTCCATGTTTTATTTAGCCCTCTGGATGTAGTTGCTATAAAAAAGCCACAGGTTTAGGAGTTCAAGCAGCAAGGTGAGGCTTCTTATTAGACAGCAGCTTTTGCTGAGGCATGAAGAGTGCCTGTAATGTACATTTGTTCCCAAAGGAATGTTAGAATGAAGGAATCTGAGTGATAGCGATGTGATGTGAGCTCCTGTTCTCTTCTGACCCTCTCTGTCTCTGTGCTCCTCACAGATACTTCTTGTGCCTTCAGCTCCGGCAGGACATCGCCTCTGGCCACCTGCCTTGCTCCTTTGTGACTCATGCTCTTCTGGGATCCTACACGCTGCAGGCTGAACTTGGAGACTATGACCTGGAAGAGCATGGGAGCATTGACCTCAGTGACTTCCAGTTTGCCCCCACCCAGACTAAGGAGCTGGAAGAGAAGGTGGCCGAGCTGCATAAGACCCATAGGTCTGTTGACTTGCTCACTGGAGAGAGCTGGGCCATGGGAGGTTTCAATAATCTGTAACACTTAAATTTGAGCACTGTCTCTGGGATTATCCAGTTTTTCTTTTAATGTGTCACCCAGCACAGATCAAGACAGCCTGCAGCTCTTGAGATAACCTTTCAGTGTTTTTATGACCGTAATATGAAAGTAAATGTCTCCATGGTTTGGAAAAAATGTAATTTTCCATATGACATTTTCAACCCAGGTTCCATCCCTTAACACATACGGGTACAGGAAACAAGTATACCCACATACTTGTTTGGGCATTTACATTTCTTTTGCCTTTTATTACCACTGTGCTTGGTAAGAAAGCCAGGGAGATAATGAGGTACTGGGATTTGAACTAGAAGTGTGGGTGGGGGTGGACGCAGGGATAGTAACTCAATGTGCAAGTGGATCCAGTAAGCACAGGTGACGCCCTTGTTCAGGTGAGGATAACACAAATTAATGCAGTAGACGCTTTGTGTACTTTTATATATATGTGAAAATGGATGTTTTCCATGAGTTTTTATAATGCTAGCTACAAAATTGTAATCTGTTGCCTTGCAAAATGGTAGTTTTATAAAGTACTGAATAAAATGATTTGAAAGGAACTCTCAGAGATTGAAAAGTTTTAAAGGGGCAAAATTTATTGATGTTTAAAATATAATAAATGCAGTATTTGACTTAAGTATTTTCTCATTTGCTTTATACAAATTCTACTCAAGTATTCTGTAATTGTAGTTTGAAATGTCAGGTGCTGAAATGCCTTGGCAAATGAAGACTAATAGGACTGAATCTTGTCCTTTAGAAGATTAAAATGTGCTTAGCTGGGGGCATAAATTGGAATGGAAATTTAGTATGGACAGGATATGATATGTGTTACCTCTCATAGGTGTAGTAATTCTGGCCTTTATTGTGATCAATCCTAGCAAAATAAAAGGATGTGAATGAATCTGTCTTACTACAGAAAGAGGAAATCACTGTTTCATTTCTAGTTACATTGCACCTATTATTGCTAGGGCTTTTCTCCAGTGAAAATTATCCAAAGAAACCCTTTAAAATAAAAAGAGCAAGGGTGAGAGGTATGCCTCCTTGCAATGAGCAGGTTAAGCTTAGAGGATCTTCAGGGAAAATTCTGCAGGTTGAGCGCATCCCACTTTTCTGCATTTAGCTGGGTTGCTTTCTCGCCCTCAGACTCCCCAAGCTCACACTTCCTTTATTTTGAGGACATTTGCTGTATATCCACCAGTAAGACAATACTGCTTTGTTTGATTTTTCAGGGGCTTATCTCCAGCACAGGCGGATTCTCAGTTCTTAGAAAATGCAAAGCGGCTTTCCATGTATGGTGTGGACCTGCACCATGCCAAGGTACTGTGAGTGTAATGGGAAGTAGCGCCGGGCCAGTCTGTTAGCTGACGGCTGGCAAAGGCTGTTTCACTTGAGGGTCTCTGTAATGTTTCTTTTTCATTTTTAATCTTTTAATTAAAAAGAACCTATAACAGTACAGATACATTGTCATTCATCCACCTCAAAATACTCCCCTTGCTTTGAGCACACTTACCCTGTTGTTCTTGCCACTTTCTGAAGCAGTTCTGGAAGTCCTCCTTCGTGACAGTCTTTAGTTGTGCTGTCATGGCTGCCTTGATGTCCTGAATTGATTCAAAACATTTACCTTTCATGGTCACTTTTGACATTGGGGAAGAGCCAGAAATCTCGTTGTGCAGGGTCTGGAGAATAAGGTGGATGAGGGCACACTGTGATGTGCTTTATAGGCCTGCCTTTCTGTTGGATGGTGCTCAGCAGCATCATTCACTGTATTTTTAAAAATAATTTTTATTAGTACATGTTTGTGATGCATAGTAAATACATTCACCACGGGGAGCTGGTATATATATCATTTTAATCCTTTTTATTTCTCTTTCTGCTCTTTTCCCTCAACCTCTCTCCATTCCTAGATCCCCGTATCTTCAAAAGGTCTTTGTTTGCTATCATCTTTTGTTTTGCTCTTTATATTATTTATACCTTGGGTTTCTCATATAAGAAAACAATGCGATATTTAACCTTATGTATCTTATTTAAATATTTCACTTAGCAGTATGTCCGCAAGGTGCATCCATTTTCCTACAAATGACTCAAATTTACCCTTCTTTATGACTGAATAGTACTCTGTTGTGTATATGCATGTTTTCTTTATCCATTCTTCTCTTAATGGACATATAAGCTGCTTCCAATATTTAGCTTTTGTGAGTTGGGCTTACATTGAGAGTTATTATTGTATGGTGTTCATTGAATCCTGACACTGCATTATTTTTCCAGGGCTGATTTTTCTGCAATGCTGGTTCGGTAGCCATTTTTTTTTTAGGATTTCTTTGTTATGGAAAGTCTTTAGTTCTCTGTCAGATTTGAAGGCTAACTTTCCAAGATATGGAAGAGAAGTCTGAATTGTCCATTGTTTTCTTTTAGGGCTTGAAAAGTTTTATTCCAAGCTCTCTTATCCTTCAAGTTTTGTGCTGAGAAGTCTGCTGTTACAGTGATAGGCTTGCAAATAGGTCATTTGCTATTTCTCTCTAACAGTTTGGTGTTCGCTCCTTTTGTTGAATTTCTGGAATTTTGGTTATGATGTGTCATGGAGAGTTCCTTTCTGGTCATGGCCTTTGGATTTTTATGTGCCTCTTATACTTGAATATTGAATTCTTTCCCTAGATTTGGAAAATTTTCTGCTATGATTTCAGTGAATAATTGTTTTACCTTTGAGTCATCGTGTAATTTTTCCCTGGTTCCTGCAATGCCAAGGTTGCATGCAGCTCCTCTCTATCTCTGTTCCACCCGGCATTTAGGGGCACCCGGGGTTCAGTGCAGCTAGGCTCCTTTGCCCAGTCCTCAGGATAGTGGAGTCAACAAGGGGCTGCTTTCCCTGGCTCCCAACCCCTTGGTGGCCTTTAGTGGCTGGCGGGATGGGTCCCCCACGAACTGAACTCTGTGGCACCCGGGAAGCTGGATGGTGCAGAGCCTCGTGGAGACGGCTGTGGGTGCACATGGCACTGCTTCGCTGTTTGTCTTCACCCCAGCCTCAGATCACATTCACTGTGTGATGCTGCCTGTTTCTGCGTCCCTATCCAGATCCAAACCCCAGTTTCTTTTTGTCTTGGCTCGATTGTCGCGCTTTGGTTGATTTTCTGGTTCGTTAGGCTCTGTAATCTGAGAGGCCTCTACCCTGGGCCTCCCTACCCATCTCCCAGCATGAAGGGTGCCAGGACGGTGAGCCCTGGGTGGTGAGGGCTTAGCTGGCACAGATTGTGGCTTCCTGGCTGTGGCCGGCTGGTGCCTGGGCTTCCCCATCCAGTCTCCTGTCCTCGGCTTTGCCACCTTCCTTTGAGTGTGGCTCTCCGCTGTCTCCTGGCTGGCTTCCAGGGCATCTGGGTTTGGATCTCCAGCCCGTGAGCCTGGTTGCTGCCACAGATGTGAAGGCCAGTTTTCTGAGTGGGCTTCCTTCCTTTTCCTCACCTTCTTCCCTCCAGAGGTGAGATACCTTCCCCAAATAGCGTATTCACGGAAGCTGAGCTGTGAGCCACACGGAGTCTGAGAAAAGACCCTGCTTTTCCCTCTAGACACCTTAAGGCTGAGCATTGACTGGTGTTTGTTTGTTTGTTTGTTTTTTAAAATTTCCTTTCCGTGTTGGTTCCCTGTTTCTGAGTACCTGCAGGGCCTGGTAGGCTACCTCCGGAATGATAAGGTGAGTGCTTCCCTCCCTGATACTCTGCCACCTTCCTCCCCTCTGTAATGTGGTTTGGTGACTGGTTGTGATGTGCTTGGTTGTGGGAGGTCGTTTATTTTCCCCATACCTCTTTGTGTTTATTAATATCCTTTACTAGTACTTACCATTAAACTCATCTCAGCAGCATTTTACTCTCACCCTCTTATCCGGTTTATTCTGCATCCCAGCTTCTGAGTGCTGCTGCTGCCCAGCTCCCTCTCACCTCTGTTTTGGGAGGGGAGACCAGATCTTAGCAAGCAAGAAAGGGCGAAAGTAGCACCAGAAAGACGTCCAGAGAGGGCCGACTTGAGAGAAGCCAGCATCACAGGGACACAGCCCTGGTGCCACCCCCAGACGGGGATCTGGGCGTTAAATACTCTGGCCTCCCTTCCCTTCCTGCTCTCGATCTTGTGCATAGCCTTGCATGCCGAACCCACTCCGAAGCCAGTGGCAGAGGATGCTTTTGGTGCCCATGTGGTGCTTCCCAAGGGGCAGTGATCACAGCGAGAGGGGGCTCCTTTCCCAGCAGTCTTGCTGACTCTCGCTGAGGGGCGTCACTCAGGCGTGGAGAGTCACAGCGCCCTCCTCTCCCTTCCCATCATACCCCTTGTCCATAATTCCTGTTCACACAAACACTGATAAGTGTAGAACAGCTACTGTATGTGCAGCAGCCCACAACCAACCAATTTGCTTGAATCCCAGTGGTGTTTATTTTTAAATCAGATAAAATAGCTTCCTTGTCCTGCCCGAAGATCGGCTCAGGCCAGAGATGCCTTGTTCAGTGTCTCCACTGTGGCTGCCTCGTCATTTGTGGTGGGAACATGCTGTCTCAGACCGTCTCTCGCCTTGTTCCTTCCGGCCATGGGAGTAATGTTCTTGGCCAACACACCCTTCGGCTCTGGTGCCAAGTAGCCTGGGCACCTGTGCCTGATTCAGACCGGCTTTCTGTACTATTCCTAGAGAGGGTTGTAGCTGCCAGGGCAAGAGCAAGTAGAGCATCATGTACATTAGTTTTTTTAACCTTCTCAGGCTGGTCCGGTGTAATTTTGTGTAGTTGTATATGAATTCTTCAAGTATTATAGCAGAGAAAGAAATATCAGTTGCCTGGTGCTCTGCTTTAACAAATGTATATTGTGTTAAATTATGCTAAATTGTGCTAAATTAAATTATATTATGTTAAATTATAAGGCAGTCAAATTGTTATGCTTTTGTTGTATTGGGACTTAAACTAAACATGGTGTTGTTTCAGCATTTTTTGGTGAGAATTTGTCCCATGTTCATGATTTTTGAAAATGAATGTCTGAATAGTATTCTTCAAATTTTACATGAAGGAGATACACATTTCTCCTCTGAAAGATAGTGATTGTGTATTTTGGGTTGTTCGTTTTTGGTACGGGGGATCAAACTCAGGACCTTGCACTTTTGAGGCAGGCGGTGGAACCACTGAGCTAAACCTCCAGCCCTAGTGATTGTGTATTTTGAATAATGTGTATCTTAGATACTCAGTTACTACTTGAAAAATAGGAGATAGTTTTCATTTTTGCATGTAAGTTATTTGGTTTAAAAAAATCTTTCAGGCTCATGATTATTCTAGATTGTCATCTATTATAAATTAAAGCTCGGGGAAAGAAAACTGTTAATAACTTCAAAAATAGTCTCCAGCCCTTTGAAATATGCTAGCCAAAAGAATGCTTAAAGAGAACTGGATATCAACACTCTTAAGTTACTAAAAAATTGCTTGAAAGAATTTTGAGATTTCAACACTGTAGGGCTAGAAGAAAAATTTTCTGTTAAGATTGTTGTTTTGCAAAACACAGGCATAATTTTAACAGCTATCAGCTAGTGTAATCCATCTGAGATAAATTTGTGTAAAGTAAAATGGTTGAATGTACTTTAGAGTAGGCCAGCAGAGTGTCCCTGAGGGCTGGAATAGGCTCCAGGAAAACATTTTAATCTTCCATAGCTTCAGGATATCTACAGTTAATTCTGTTTCTTTCATCCCTGCTAAGCTCTTCATAGAGATTGAGAACATAACAAATTATGGCTTCTGAAAAATACTGTGTCCCATAATCATGTTGCAGTAATTGTTTGGCAAGTCAAATTTATCTAAAGATAAATAGATTTAAAGGGTGTGTGTGTGCGTGTGTGTGTGTGTGTGTGTGTGTGTGTGTGTGTGTTATTGGTGCCATTAACTTGTAATGTCACTGAAATTTAAACAACCTGTTGGCATTCTCACCTATGGCTAGTTAGCTCCCTGATCTGTATAACTTTAATACCCCTAACTGTGGTCAAATGGGTTTTGTTTGGCAGGACTCAGAAGGCGTGGACATCAAACTGGGTGTATGTGCTAATGGGCTTCTCATTTACAAAGATAGACTGAGAATCAATCGTTTTGCTTGGCCAAAAATCCTGAAAATTTCCTATAAGCGCAGTAACTTCTACATTAAAGTTAGGCCAGCAGAGGTAAGCAATGTACCCTTGGTGAATCTAATCAATTGTCAGTGTTCTATACTTGAGGAGAGCTAAATGAATTCCTTTTCACTAAAGTCTTAAGGAAGTGAACTATTCCTTACTTTTCTATGATAAAAAGGTCAGGGTTCTTGATGATAAACCTGCATAGGCAAATTCCTGTTACTAAAAATCCACAATACTACCACGTCTTGCATAAAAAATAATTACCAGCCTGGCACATAGTGTGTGCTCCTTTTTTCTTGTTAAATCAGTTAAGTGGTGGAGGTCAGTGGAAGAGTGCATAGAGTTCGGGTGGGCAGTGAAGAGTAGTTGGTTTAGTGAGTAGTTAACACTTGCTTTTCCCAGACAGCACTGTTGCAGTCTATGAAAAATTCATTAGATATAGGTGCTAATAGTTACTTCTTACAGAAACAATTAATGCATGTTTATTGGTAGCTTCTCATCAGTGCCTAAGGAAATCTGCTGACTGCCTTTATGGATTCCTTGCAGCTAGAACAGTTTGAGAGCACCATCGGATTCAAACTGCCAAACCATCGGGCAGCGAAAAGGCTATGGAAAGTGTGCGTGGAGCATCATACTTTCTACAGGTAACATTCACAGGCTGTCCTGGCCTTGCCTTTGGTCCTCTGTGTGGATTGGAGACCCTGCCTCGGGTTCCTTATTGGTGCTACATCTCCTCTGTCTCGTGCGGCCTGTTACCGTGTCCTTCCCTGTTGCCCAAGGCCACGCTGTGATCTGCCTGCCACTGTCCAGAACTCTGCTTGCTGCATCACTGCTCTTCCTTCTGCCTCTGTCACACGGCCCCTTGCCTGCCCTGCTGCCCTTTGTCACCCTCACCCATCTGAGATTTAACTTAGGTGCGTGATCTTAGCAGCTCCTTCCCAACTTCTTGCCCACACCAGCCTGCACCCTGTGGTCTGTCCCTTAGGCTGTTCTGTCAGGAGTGCTCAAACCCCCATGTTCCTGTCCTCTTTGTACCCTGCCTGCCCAGTCTGCTGGTGCTGACCTCACCTGTACCTGTGCTACCAAGTGCTGCAGTAGGTCACACAGCTGTGGTGACTCAAGTGGCGACTCCTTACAGCAGGACAGTTGTAATACAGCTCGAGGGTTGGCGCTGTTACAGATAATTTCCAACATTAGCCAGACCCTTGGTGCTTCTGGTCAGCACATCTGCCTGCCCCTCCACCATGCGGTGCACTCATCATTGACGCTGTAGGTTGGAGTGTTCTTCCTCATGAAGCGTCACTTCTCCCAATTCTTTCTCTCTTCTCCTGTTTCACTTACTGCTCTGCTATGAGCTCTCAGTTTTTGGCCTCACAAAAGGATCCTGCTTGGTAAATTGTTCACTTCCTGTGGGGTGCCTTTGACTCCTTTGGCCAATAAATATGCCTTGCTCCCTTAAGAACCGAGAAAATTGCCAGGCTTGGTGGTGCATGCCTGTAATTCCAGCACTTGGGAGGCTGAAGCAGGAGGATTGCTGTGAGTTCAAGGCCAGCCTGGGCTACATAGCAAGACCTGGTCGCCAAAAAAACCCAAAAAAACAAAAAACCCAGAAAAATCTTCTTTGACCCCCAAGCTAACCACCTTTACCTCGCGTCTCATGTCTTTCTCTGCTTTTCTTTGAGGGCACATTTTTTACAACTAATTTGGTTACTTTCATTTCCTCTTGCTGCAGTCTAAAGAGCTGTATATCTAGACCCTTCATTTTTACGGTTTTGACTTGGGTTTAGGGTCTAATACTCTTCTATCATACTAGCTGTATAACTTCCCTCTCATCAACTGTATGTGATCCTAAAATAATAGTGTCCACTATGAGATTGTTTTGAAAAGTAAATGAGATTATATATGTGAACAAACTTAGAACCATTTCTGGTATATGGTAAATGTTTATTATCACCACTGTCTTTATCATTATTCTTCATTTGGTACCACAGTGTGTAATGATTTAAAGCAAATTGTCAGCTTGTAGAGATGACTCCTCAGCATTAAATTGAACAGATCTATTTTCAAAAGTAATTAACTCATTTAAGAGGAGAAATAGAATCCATAAAATATACTTGATTCCATCCAACTCAGTCAACTGATCACAGAAATCCTTGAAAAGTTTACAGTTTCTCTTGGTAGCCAGATCAAATTTCTCAAGACCACATGGACCAGCCTCATCTAAGCTAGTAGATGACATAGGGCTAGGCTGGGCAGAGCCGGCTTCCCTGTCAAATAATGATAGTAAGAGCAATATTCGTTTTACAAACGACAAGTGCTGCCATTCATTGAGCTTTCTGGTTCTGTACAAAAGCGACTGCTTCACTTTGCAGTAGCCCCTTTGCTCCTCGCCACGGCAAAGGGGGCCGATGCTCAGCACCTGAACAGTGGTGCTGGAAGGGTGTGGATGTAAAATGTCCCCCCAGAGTTACAGGTGTTTGGAGGACAAGGCTTCTGGAAGGTGATTGGCTTTTGGGGTGCTGTGCTCCCCAGTAGATTAACCCCCTGAAGGGTTCATAGCTGAATCTGCTGGTGGGAGAGGGACGTGGTAAAGGCAGCCCTGGGGTCGTGACCTGATGGGCTGTGTTCTTGTCCCCAACTGCTCCCTTCTTTCTCTGCTTTCTGATTGCCATGGGTTGAGCAGCTCACCCCACCCTCAGTGTCCTTCCACCATGTTTACCACCTTGGAGCCAGTCAGATGTGGACTGAAATCGTGGACTGAAAAGCACTTCTCCTCCTTGAACATTTTGTCCCAGTGACAGGAAAGTGACTGATACTGGTGGTGACCTGGTGCGTTGACTCTGAGGTCAACACGCCTCACTTTCGTGATGTCCTCATTCTCTTGCTTCCCGTAGGAGTTTCTGAGGTACGTTAGCTCTGCCTCAGGCCCTTCCATCTCTTACTAATGTGCCATGAACTCCAATTTAAAAGACTGCTTGCTCTTGCAGACTTTTGAGATAACAGTTAACAAGAATATTTTATATTTGTAAACATTGCAGAATGATTCCAAAGCTATATAAAATAATATCTTTTGTCAGAGAGGGCAGACTCTAGTATGTCTGACTGCTTTAAATCAGATCAATGGGTTTATCACAATAAGTGCAAATGGCTTCTTTCTAAATTTTTTTCCTTCTTTTCTCTTCTTCTGTGGTTTTGAGGATTGAACCTGAGACCTTGCGCATGCTAGACAAGTGCTATACCACTGAGCTATATCTCTTGCCCTTTTTCTTTGGAGATGAGATGAGCTCTCACTAAGTTCCCCAAGCTGGTCTTGAACTTGTGGTCTTTCTGTCACAGCCTACCAGGCAGCAGGGATTACAGGCGTGTTCCACACCACCCAGCCAGTTCAGATGATTTCTTTAGAAAATTACAAGGCTTGCAGGTTGAAGCTCCAGAAAAATTATTCTTTTAATTGGTAGCCAATTGGCTTGATTAATACTAGTGAATACCAGAGTAGTAATGAAGCTGCCACACTTGCCTGAGCATTTGGTCTGTCTTGCCTCCAGTTCTCAGTGCTGTATAGGGATTAATTCTTTCAATCTTTGCAACACATCTATGGGACAAGCGCTGTCGTCTTTCACACACAGGAGCTGAGGGACAGAGAAGTCAAGTAGCATACCCTAGCCGCATGGGCAGTGTGCACACTCTGCAGTGTGCTCGGTGCTCTGGGCATGTGCTGTGCTGTGCTGTGCTGCCTGGGGCGCCCGCCCTCCGCGTGTCCCCTTGTGCCCCAGTCCCTCGAAGCTGGGGCCTTGTGTGCTCTAGGCAGGAGCTGTGCCTGGAGCCAAGCCTCCAGCCTGTTGTTTTTCTTGTAGGGTTATAAGTAAGAGATAAACACGAGGCTCTTCCAGATGAGAGGAAGCTGTCACTTAAACTTGGTGTCAGAGTAATCCCAGGGTCTTAGTGTCATCAGCTGCATTCTGGTGAGCTTCGTGTAGACCTGTGTCCTGGCCTGGCCTTGGTTAACTCTAGTCACCGATGGGGAGGGGTTTCTTGGAATGTTCCTTTATTTTCGATAGATAGACAGTGATACTTTGTAATAGGGTTTTATAAAATTAAAATGTTTATATACTGCTTAAGCAGTAAAATATGTAAAAATGAATTCTTTTTTTGACATACTACTTCCATCACCTTACTCAGGGTCTTTAATACTCAGCTTTTTCTTTTTTCTAGTTTTTATATTCTCAAAAAAAGGTAGATGTCTTATAGTGGTTTTCATGGTATTGTTATGAAGATAGGATCATATGACAGGTCTTGAGGTGGAAGATAAAAGTAATATCAAAAGGAAATAAGATCTTGAAGTAATAGGATTGAAATATTTTTTTGTTTGGCCTTCATTTTCTTAGAAAATTTATTTTTATCACCTCTGACTTAAGTCACCAAAAGAATACTTTTGGAGGAAGTTAATAAAAGTCTAGTGTTCTAAAAAAAAAGAAAGGGCAGGCTGGTGGACAGGGATGTAGCTCAGTGGTGCCATGCCTTCCTGGCAAGCACAAGGTCCTGAGTTTGATCTCCAGTACCGGAGGGAAAAAGTCTAGTATTCTATTCTTTTTTGTTTTGTTTCCATTTAATTGTCACTCAATTACTTAAGAATTTCTTTGTCATCGGAAAATTATATGTAAGCTAATAAATTTTATGAGGTCACTAGTGTCAAGTAGGCCAAAAGTATTTCACACCAATTTAAAATAAAGTAAAAATCCATGTAGTTTATGACCTCTCTTCTCTTTCATTGTAATATTTATTTGACTTTTAAATGTTTTCCTTATATTTCTTGGATTTCTATTATTTTCATAAAATATCTTCTATAAACTAAATTAATGGATATGCATTTAAATGGCAATCAACTACTTATCATTACCCTAACACAAACTAGACTAAAGAAATAGTGGTAGTATAGAACTCTTATCTGGACTTAGCTATTGGACTGATGCCTATATAAATAGGAGGTTAGCTTCAGAATTGGGGGAAAACCCACAATAAAACCAGCAACTCCATTTAAGAAAATGACTGTTGTTTTGTTTCATTAAATTAAGACTCAACTCTTTCGTAGTAATCTTTGCAGTGTGTATGTGTCATAAGTTGCAGTGCTTACATTCTTCAGTGCCATGACTATGCAACTCGAGGAAAAAAAACACACAAGAGCTGGTCATGGTGACGTGTGCCTGCAGTGACAGCCACGGGGGCCAGTGTGGGGTGTTTAAGACCGGCCGAGGCTGAGCGGCAGGTCCTTGCTTTGAGAGTGGAGAGCCAGGAGAGGGAGAGGACGCAGAAGGGTAGGCGTGTTGTGTCAACCTGTTGTCTTTGGGTTGTCTGGATTGTTCAGGTCAAGCATTCTCAAAAATAGTCAATAGAGCTCTCCTTTGTGTTTAGTAATACCTGCTTGTGTAAAGGTTCCAGCACAGATAGAAGTTACATAAAATAAAAGAATAATTAGAATGTTGGGAAACACTAATGAAAGTTTTCTTAATTTTCTTTACAATTATTTTCTGAAACATGACATTTTCTGATCTTTTTAAAAATTCAGTTCATTTTGTAAAAGAAGAAGAAAGTTATTTTTTAAAAAATATAACCTTACATATACATATTCTTTAAAATATTTTTCTAATTCCAAAAAACAGACATCCTGTTTCTAGTTTTAAATTTTGTTTTGGAGTTATCAAATGCATGTTTCTCCATTGAACTATTCTTTAAAAAATTCTCACTTCTGTTGCTCACTCAATAACTACAGAGTATGCTTTATGAATAGACAGTGTATTTCTCAGTCGCGGCACTGATGAGCTTGTCAGAGGGGCCTCCCCTTCTTATAGATCACCACCATCTTACAGAGCACCCTTAGGTCCTAGTTTGCTGGCTTGCTAGGTGGGGAAACCCATATTAAACCTGCCAGGAGACAGTACAAGGTAAATGACCACATTTCCCATCCTTCCTCTTATTCATGATGAGAATGCTAGGCTGTTTAGCCTCTCTTTGCCTCATTCCTCAGCTGGTAGAGAAAAAGAGAATTCAGAACATGGATTGGGTTCTCTGTTTTTGGTCCAAATTTCCACTATTCTGACATTCTAATTTACAATTGTGCAACTTTTAACAAAGTACAATTTGAGGCACTGGATAACTGTCAGATTGCAGTTTCTCAGCGGCATCATCTATGTCTCCTCTGAAAATCTATTGGCAGGAAATGGAATTTTCAAGAAACACTTCTGCTCTTCTCCATGAATAGATTCAAGCCAAGAAAGCCAGAAGTCTGTTAGTTTTTTTTATCAGTTTAATTCAGACATTGCTTTTTGGGTGAATGCTGTTTTGAGAATCTTGAGTTGATGAAGAATTGCTTCAAATTCATCACATCTGGCTTCACCTTGACTTGGATCTCTTCGTTAGTATAAGCAGAATGAAACTGCTAAAAAAAAATGTACAGAGATCTAGAAATAGTTGAAACAATACAGTATTTTTGAGAATTTACTTCCTTGGAAAAGTTTTGGTAAGAGTGCTCCATATTCTTGAATTGTCAACTGAAGTCATAATAAATTGTACAAGAGCTCTAAGATTATCTTTTTAAGACTTTTATCAACTCCTGATAAAACAACGAAAACAAGGCAGTTTTGTTTGTATTCCAAAGAAGATTGGCTTATTTACTGAAAATGTGTTTTTGCATAAATTTGGAAGTATTTGACGCGAAGAAAGTTTGATTCATTATGAACCCAGGGCTTGCACAGAGTTGTGCTGGCAAGAAAGAATGTTAGTCATCTGTGTGGATCCACTCTGTGTTCTGTTCTTCATGGGAAAGATCGTTTGATGAAACAGATTCTTGACTTAGATGTTTTTGTTCCCAGGAGAAATCGGCATAAATATTAAGAATTACTAATGGTAATGGATTCCTACTTGGCACTTAGAGCTAGAAGCAAGAATTTAGACATATGTGTTTATATAAATGGTTTAAGCTATTACAAATAAATAACCCTTGATGCACACTGAGAACAGCTGCTGTTGTGCTCAGGTTGAGAAAAACATTATTCATGAATACATGAATGTAAATTTACACATCACCATCATAAAACCATGTGCATAGGAAGGTTTATACATAATGTTCTTTTTATTATAAAATTTAAGTAACATTGTTTTTGAGTTGTCATACTTAAATGAGATATTAAAATATGAAGTTTTTATTTTTTAAAAAATTAATAAAGTCTAATTGTGTTCCGGGCCTTTTACCCCTGCAGGCTTGTGTCTCCAGAGCAGCCACCAAAGGCCAAGTTTTTGACCTTGGGGTCCAAATTCCGCTATAGTGGGCGCACCCAAGCGCAGACCCGCCAGGCGAGCACCCTCATAGATAGGCCAGCACCACATTTCGACCGCACCTCTAGTAAGCGGGCCTCCAGGAGCTTAGATGGAGGTAAGCACTATGGTGATTTCAGATTGTTTTTATCTTTCTCTAGTCCAGTGAGGTCAGAAAAGGTTGGTCTAGTTAGTTAATAAGACCACCAGAAATACTCTAGAGCGGTGGTGGCAAACCTGTGGCAAACGCTTGTTATTTTATTTATTTTTTTAAGACAAAAGAGGTTAATGTATAAGTTATTTTTTCTAAACCAGAACCTCATTCTTCAAAGTTAATTTGTAATATTGGCACTTTGTGATAGAATGGGTTTTGGATTGCAGTTTAGGCACTCATCTCTAAAAGGTTCGCCATCACTGCTTTTGCGGGATAATCATTTATTTCTGAGTAAATAGAATGCTACTGTGTGCAGAATAAAATAATTTTGTAGTGTTTCTAAGTTGTCATTTCAAACATATTTTTCTTTGTATTTAGTGCACACAAGTGTTCATTACAAGGTTTTATTTGTGTTTATGAGATGTTGGAATAACATTGTTATTGGTTTGACTTGATTGTGATGTTTTATATAATTTTAAAATCTTGTTAATGAGTGTAATTTTAAGGGTTTTTATGTTCACATATGAACTTTATTCAACTGAACATAAACATTCCTAGCATCATCGAATTTTGAGTTTTGAAGCCTAGTAAGCCACATATTTGTAGTTTTTAATGTGGGTATCTGTGCAATACATAATAATTACATTCATCTCAGAGAGTTGGTGTAATCGTGTCACATCTTGATCGTTTTTACTTCCTTCCCCCACCTTACTCTGCCCTCTTTCCCAGATCCCTTTCCCATCTCCACAAAGTCTGCCTCTCTGTTTCCTACCATTTTTAATTTTGCTCTTTATATTTAGGGTTTCCTGTGTAAGAGAAACTGTGATATTTATTCGTGTCTGTCTGATTTACTTTACTAGCATTATGCTCTCAAGTTCCTTCCATTTTCTTGCAAATGGATCCTTCTTTATGGCTAATACGTGTGTGTGTCCATTTATATGTTGCTGGACATATAAACTGCTTCCTTAATTTAGCTGTTATGAATCGTGCTGCTATAAGCATGGGTATGCATGTGATCACTGGAATATGATGTCTTTAGCTCTTTCAGGAAGATGCCTAGAAGATGAGTACCTGGGTCAGATAGAATCTCTAGTTGTTGTCTCTGAGGAATCTCCATACTGGCTTCCATAGTAATTGTAGCAGTTACACTCCCACCAGCAATGTAGAAGAGTTCCTTTTTCCCCCACAATGCCACCAGCATTTGTTGTAATTTGAATTCTTGGGGATAGCTATCCATACTGGGGTAAGATAGAGTCTCAGTGTTGTTTTGATTTGCATCCTCTAATGGCCAGAAATGCTGAACGTTTTATCATACGTTTATTGGCTGTTTTTATTCTTTTAAAAAATGTCTATTCGGTTCAATTGCCCAAGTTTTGATTGAGTCTTTTATTTGGGGGCACCTAATTTTTTGGAATTCTTTATGTACTGTAGATATTAGTCCTCTGTCCGAGGTATGGCTGGCAAAATTTTTTTTCCCATTTTCTAGGTTCTTTCTTCACTTTGTTGGTTGTTTTTTTGCTGTGCAGCAGCTTTTGAAAATTTTTATATAATCTCATTTGTTGATTTTTAGGTTATTTCTCATGCAGTTGAGATTCTATTCAAGGAGTTCTTGCTTATGCCAATGTCTCTAAGAGTTTTACCTATTTTACCTTACAGCAGACCCAACATTTCTGTTATTTAGGTCTTTGATCCATTTTGATTTGATTTTAGTACAGGGCGAGAGATTTGAGCTTAGATTCATTCTGCATATAGATAACCAGTTTCACCAGCACCATTTGTTAAAGATGCATCTTTTCTCCATTGAATGTTTTTGGCCCTTTTGGCAAAACTCAGAAGGTTGAAAGTGCATGGGTTGTTTGTGCATCCTCAGTTCTATTCCATTGGTCAGCATGTCTGTTTTGTGCCAGGACCAGGTTGTTTTTATTATTATTTCTTTGCAAAGTCCAGGGTTGTGATGCTTCCTGCTTTTTTTTGTTCAGGATTCCTTTTGTTATCCTGGGTCTCTTGTGGTTTCTTTTTGTGTGTATGTGCATATCCTTTTATTGGTACATTTTAGGTTTACAATATAATGACATTCATCATTGGAGATAGTCACCTTTACATACTCTCTTGGTTCTTATTTCTTCCCCCTTCCCCTGCCCTCCCTTCAATCCCACCATCCTCTTGTGGGTTCATATAAATTTTAGAATTTTTTTCTAGTTTTATGAAGAAAGTTTATGGTGTTTTGATTGGAATTGCATTAAATCTATATATCATTTTTGATAAGATGATCATTTTTATAATATTGGTTCTGCCTATCCAGGAACGGGGATGTCTTTCCATTTTCTAATGTCCTCTTCAGTGTCTTTTTTTCAGAGCACTGTAGTTTTTGTTGTAGAAGTCTTTCATTTCCTTGATTAGTTTAATTCCTGAGTATTTGATTTCTTTGAAGGTATTATGAATGGAATTTTTTCCTGCTTTTTCAGTGGGTTCATTGTTGGTCCTTTGTCTTGTTCCTGACTTTAGAGTGAGTGCTTTTTTTTTTTGCTTCAAGATACCATTCCTTTTTTTTTTTTTTTTTGGTACTGGGGATTGAACTCAGGACCTTGCACCTGCAAGGCAGGTGGCAGCACTACTGAGCTAAATCCCCCGCCCTTTTCCTTTATATTTTAAATGTATTTTATTTATTTTTAAAACTTTTATTAGTACTGTTCATGTTTGCAGTACATAATGGTTACATTCACTAGGGAATTGGTACATGTACAAAACACATTTCAATCCTTTTTTTCCCTTTTCTCCCACCCCCTTTTATTGTTCCAGAATAAGATTCATTTATTTATAAGACCATATTAAATTGATTATATTAAAAACCAGACTAATAGGTCAAAGAAAATATAAAACATGTAAGGCAATTGTACCAAGTCAAAGTATACTCTTAGATACATTGTCCATGCTGAATTATAATACTTTCTCTTTTTTCCTATTATCTTTTATTTTGTAGTTTATATACATGCAGAGGTACCTCAGTTCATGAACTTAATTTGTTTTACAATTTTGGAAAAGATGACCACATTTGTATTTGTGTGGGAAAGATGGCTATAGTCGTGTTTGTTACCCAATGCAGAGTTTGTAAACAAAATCCAAATTTTGTCAAACACTTATGTTTGCAGACCAAATTATTTGCAAACAAAAGGATTCATGAATGGCGGTACCACTGTATTAAGTTTTTCATATAAGAGAAACCATGCAGCACTTAAGTTTGTGTGTCTGAATTATTTCACTTAACATTATGATCTCAAAATACATCCATTTTCTTGTCAATGATCCAAGTTTATCCTCTAGGGCAGATTAATACTCCATTGTATATAAATACCACATTTTCTTTATCCATTCATCTGTTGAAAGGCATATACATTGATCCCAAGATTTAGCTGTTATGGATTGTGCTGCTTATAAACATGGGTATGCATGCATCACTGTGGTATGATGTCTTTAACACATACCACAGATATCTGTGGGAAGATATCTAGAAAGACAATAGCTGGGTCAAAGGGGATTTCCAGTCCTAGTTCTTTGAGGTATTTCCGTACTGATTTTCATAGTGGTTGTACTGGTTTACAAACCCACCAACAGTGGAGAAGAGTTCCTTTTTCCTCACAGCCTGGCCAACATTTGTTACTGGTTCATCTCTTGATAATAGCCATTCTTTCTGGAGTCAGATGGAATCTCAGTGTTGTTTTAATTTGCATTTTTCAAATGGCTGGAGATACTGAACTGTTAAAAATGTGTTTATTAGCCATTTATATTTCTTCATCTGAGAATTGTTTATTTCTGATGCTCATTTTTAATTAGGTCTTTAAATTTGGGGGATCTGATATTTTTGAGTTCTTTGTATGTTGTAGATATCACTCCTTTGAGGAATAGCTGGCGAAAATTTTTTCCCATTCTATAAATTGTCTATTCACTCTATTGGTGACCTTTGTTGTGCAGGAGCTTTTTAGTTTGATGTGATGCAGAGCAAATAAATGCTTTTAGTTTTTCCCTATTTAAAATACTGTTGGCCATAGGTTTGTCATCAATAACTTTTCAGTACTGTACAGGAATACTCTTGATTTTTGTGTGTTTATTTTGTATCCTGTCACTTCGGTGAATTTATTAGTTTTGAGAATCTTTTAGTGGAGTTCTTTGGGTCATCTAGGAAAAGAATCTTGTCAACTGCAAAGTAGGATAGTTAGCTTTCTTCCTTTTCTGTGTGTATCCCTTTTATTTCTTTTTCTTGCCTACTTGCAAGATTTTTCAAGTACTATATTGAACAGTGGTGAGAGTGAACACCCTTGTCTTATTCCTGATTATATAGCAAATGCTTTTAGTTTTTCACTATTCAGCATGATGTTGCAGTAGGTTTGTCATCAGTGTCTTTTATCATTTTGAGGGAAGGGCCTTCTACACATAATCTGTAATTTTATGTACACTAACATGGAAATAAATTAATGTTGCTTTCTTCATGTGTCTGTCTTGTAACCTATCGATTTCAGATTAATAATAAATTTCCTGTAAAAGAAACAGGTTAAGTTTCCACTGAAATGCTTTATGAAGGACTCAGATTTCTTTCTGCTTACCTTCAGAGTCGCTGGCTGATTTGGGAGGTAGAGACAGACTCTCCTTACGCTGTTGTTGTTGTTGAAGGGTAATGCCTTACCGTGGCCTCCCCAGTATTGCCAGAAAGTGTTGGTATGGTCAGTCTTTTTTTTTACACCAGAAGAAATAATTTGCCAGCATTTTTATTATGTTTGATAGTAATATTGAATTTGAAATTTTTATTTTATTTTGAACAAATAACATTTTTGGTTATTACTTGATTTTTTCTGAAATATGAACATTACCAACTTGTTCTTTAAATAGTAAAATATACCAGACATATGCTAACAGATAAAAATGTTCTTTCATTGGTGAAAGATTAAAGCTTGTTGACCTCAATTTACTTTTCCTAGGAAAAGATTCGGAAACAGGTGCAGGTGCTCATACAGGTGTGTGTGCCCGCGTTTGTCACTGGGCACCTTGGTACATGTCGTTTGTGAATCTTGGTCCTTGAGAATGTTCCATGTGGTTATATGAGCCCACTCGAAACATACGCAAGGGCACCCTGACTGCTCCGAGCGAATGCCCACATTCCAAATGTAGTGAACTAAATTCAGTGAATTATTAATGTACTACAGCTTATCAACAGCTGAGCACTTTTCCAAGGAAATCTTAAAAATGTGCTAACCCATGTAAATATTTCTCAAACCTTGCCACAGAGAATTTATACAGTGTCAAACAAATGAATCACTGTTTTTTAATGCTGTGAGAGAAATCATTGCTCTTTCTACAACAGTGTTTTCAGCCTTTGTTTTACTGTGAGGCTCTATAACTCTTATATTTCAAGTTTTAAAGTGTAAAAAAGAGCAATAAACCAGTACATTTTCTTAGTGGTATATAAACCTTTGTGTGAGGAAACTCACCATCTTGTTTGGGTAGTTAGTGCAGAAGGGTGGTTAAAGGAGTCTGTATCAGAAAACAATGGTTTTTACAAGTAAGAGCAACAAACATGGCACAGTAATCCATTATTTCTCCCTTTGTGTTTTGTACACTGTAATTCATCAGATGTGCATGTCATCAAAAGGATTATTGTGTTATTGGGAAAAATAGGAGGCTTTTCATGCCACCATATGACCAGACAGTCAGCAAACTCTTTGGAGGTTGTGTTCTTTTTCTCCCTGGAAGCAAAGCTAGGATTTAATCTGGTACTGAGCTTTATTTTCTACATCATTCTTCATCTGTATACACCAATTTTGTTGCTATTGATACCTTCTTTTTTGTTTACTCTTTAAAGTTTAGAATAATTTAGTTATATAAATAATCCTCACTTTAAAGTTTGGCAAATTAAATCTTCTAGTGATTACAGAGAAAGTACAAATCAATTTGATTTCTAGAGACCAAATATCAAAATAAAAACCAACCTAAAATATAATAGTTATTTTTAAATAGTGAAACTCCTCTGAGATTAGGAAATTGTACCAAAAAGGAGGCAAATCAGTCATTTGAGGGGACTTTAACAACCAAGGCATATTTGGTAGTAAGGAAGCCAGAGACTTTTCTGAGAGCGGAAAGTATAATACACAGAGAAGCCGCTTGGTGGGAGCATCAGGGAATTTGCCTGTCTCAGAAAGAATCAGTACAGGCGAGACTTGAAGGATGAGAGGGAGGCAGCCATGAGAGCAGATGACAAACCATTCCGGGTAGCAGAAGCAACAGGGCTGAAGGCTACAAGGTGAGGGAGAGCTCCACACATCTGAGAAGCAAAAAGAAGGCAGCTTGATCAAGGCTTAGTAATGACAGGAGAGGTTGGCTGTGGTTGGGCCTCGCAGGGCCTTGCAGGTCACAGTGAAGAGTGGTTTTTGTTCTCCATGTGTAGAAAACCATGTTTGAGTGAATATGTTCCCAAGAGCACATAGTACAAGGTGTTTTCATGTTGAAAAATCATTCGAGTGAGAGAACAGTTGGACAGGATTGGTACAGAAAGCAGATATAGCCCAGGCAAGCTGATAGTGGTAGCAGTCTGTTAGCACATGGGCTTGGCTCAGTGCCTGGACTGCCAGCTTCTCAGGTATGGGATCTCCTGTGTGTCTCAACCCACTGTGGAGAGATGAAGGGGCACTGGGGGCCAGGTTTGCTGGGGAGAGGGCGGCAGTGGTGTCTTACCATAGGTCAGGTTGAGACATGCAGGAGGAGTGGAGAAAATGAAAATGTTAAACATAAACAAAGGAAATCCTTAAAATCTAGTCTTGTCTTAAAGTTTCTTTGTATATGACTTCTCAAATTTTATTGGAGCAGATCCTTTCAATAATTAGATAATTATTTCAACAGGTAGATTCTGGGGAGATCAGGTAAATCCAGGCGAGTTCAAAGAGATCCAGAGACCTAAAGTATTGATGAAATTATCATTCTGACATTTTGCCCTCACTGTGTTTTAGCTGGTCTTAGAGCTCCTCCTACCGACCAATTTCATGATCACAGCATATCGTTCAAAAATCTAACTTTGGGACCCTGATATATGTAATTCACTGTGTTAAAATTCAGAATACTATTAAAGTTTGGTAAAAGTTTAAAAATGAGTTTATTTTACATGTTGATCCTTTCAGAGCTTAATCAGTGTTCTTTCTCTCGTTATTTTACATGCTACTATTTATCTGTTTAGGTGGGAAACAGTCCATAAAACTTTAACCATTTACACGTCCTGAAGTAATTGAAAATTATTCTTTACTAGCTCTGATTGGTGTTGGGGACCAAACTCCTGTGAAGGATTTTCCTGGTGCTGTGGGGGAAGTCTCAGCGTATGGCCCTGGGGTCGGCGGCACTGCCAGGGTCCAGGAAGCGAGGAGCCTGGCCAGAGCCCCATACTCACAGCTCTCTGAAGGAAAGGTATGGCAAATCAGTATTACGTGGTTTTAAACAAGCCTTAGACCAGAAGCTGGATGTTGCATTTTCTCTTTCAGAAATCAAGTATTTATAATTTATCAGCGTATGTTCTATGTTGGTGTAATTTCCCAGTTTTCAAATATGTGTAGAGACTTGCTGGTTTGGACTGTGACCTCTAACCTTCCGTTAGTTGTTATTCAGAACAAAGTATTTCAACATAAATTACATTAATGCAAATAAGTAATTCATTGACCTTTCTATCTTTAAATCGCATGATGATTTATAATTTATATTTAGTTTGTTACAAGTAAATTTAAAGTTTATTTAAATTATGTTGACTTGAATTTTTTGAAACAAAAAAGGTAACTTTATGAAAAATTTTATTTTTCATTAATTACCTGTAACTGATAACAGAATTTTTAACACAGAGAGTAATTGCTTTGTGACTAGTGAGTGAAAAGTTGATGTGTTGCTTTTGGCTGTATTTTGTTTATTTCCCACAGTGAATGGAGAAGTAGCCTATATGGTGTTCTCACATTTGTCACTGTTATGCTCCCTTGGGCAGTAAAGTCTCTTCAGTATTGAATAACCTTTGAGTTCTTCAGAGCTCTGTCCCTTATCTGTACAAGCAACATGTTACGTGCAGCACTGAAAGTAGGGGCAAGCATGTGTGCATGCACACACCAAACAAAACAACAAAATTATCCCACTGATGATTTTAACTGAGAAGTTTAAAGACATACAGAGTGAGTTTATAGAGGACCTGCTAGATGAAGTAGTGCCAGTGCCTTAGGGATTCCTGCAATTAAAACCGAAAATGCTTACAGTGGAGGTCTTGGGCCTTGTGGGTTCTCTCTTGTGCCACAAGGACAGTAGCAGCTGGCATAAAATCATTTATATTCTCTTGTTAAAGAATTGTGACTATCGTCTTGAAAATTACACAAGCCAGGTGTGGTGGAACATGCCTGCGAGCCCAGTACTCTGGGAGGCTGAGGCAGGAGGATTGCAAGTTTCAGCCCAACCTGGGCAGTTTAGTGACTTAGTGACACAGCCCCCTGCCCCCGCTCCACCAAAGACTAGGCTTACTGGAAATGCTCCGGTTTCAGTACCTAGTACAGTACCAGTATGGCAGGACTGCAAACAGACTGCCTAAGAAGATACCCTTCAACTGCTGAGTGATTGTTCGAATTGTTTATTAAAATTAATTATGCTAGGGAGGCACCCAGGAGAGTAACTGTCTGCTGAAACAGGAGCACAGTGTTCAGAATGTGTCTGCTCCATTTTCTCTGTTGAATTTGACATATATAGTTGTGTTTTAAATTATTTTCTTTTTTAAACAAGAAAATGTTCTTATTTTTCAAATTCAGAAAGAATCTTTAGCAAATGATTGGCTGTGCTGGCTTTTTTGCTGATGCTTTGAATGTTTATCAACGTCCAGCTTTTAGAGTGAATAATGCCAATTGAGTCTCATAGGATTCACGTGGAACCAGTTTGAAAATAATTAAATCAGTTTGTACCTATATGTTTTATGTAATAAAAGTAGTCCAGTTTTCCTCTTTAAGTAAAGATCATATGATTCATTTTCTAACTACACTGTTAATATGAAACCTACTTGAGAGTGAGTTATCACTAACTACCCATTTCTTCTTTTCTCCTTTCCCTGTATTCCCTTTTCCTTTGAACATGTCTGTTGTGTGACTCATGTTCAACCGTGGGTTTGCCCTTGAAAACAGGCTGTCTGCATGTGCCCGCCCTCCCCTCTCCTCCGCCGTACCTCACCGTTTTCTCCTTACCTCCTGCCGGTCCCTGAAGTGGACTTGCTTTCAGATATTTCAGAGGAGGACCCTTTTGGGGAGGCTGAGCAGCTCGCCCTGGAGAGCTCAGAGTGCCTTTCCACAGGGGAAACTTCAGAGCAGGGGGACCCAAAGAGGGCCACGCTGGACTCGGTCTCGGATCCTGCCGTAGCCCCTGCTCAGCCTGGCTGTCCTTCTCCCATCCGTGAGAGGACTGTTAATGTGGCTGGCCAGGGGGGCTCCGAGTTTGGGTACTTCTCCTTTGGCTTCGCCTCTCTTCTGGATGAAGATGGGTACCTTGCTTTCCCCAGCCTCCCCAAGCTCTGGGTCTCCTTCCTTCCCCATGACGTTCAGCACTACATCCCTGTCACCTCCCCATCATTCATTCCTTCCCTCATCCTCATCTTTGGGCTACTACTCTCTGCTTCTCAGTCTGTCCCTTTTTCTCTCACCTTTTCCCTTCCTCTGGCTCTAGCCCTCTGTTATCTGGAAGCTAAAGCCACCGCCTTTAATGTTTCTCATGACTGTGACTTGAATGATAAAACAGAGGAGGAGGAGACAGTTGCTGGCACTCCTCCATAAGCTTTGTTTTGTGAAGTCAACCAGACTATACTTCATCTTGTGCCCTTCCTAACATAGAGTGTAAACATGTGCATAACCTACACTAATTACCGTCAAAATAATATCATCTGCACATTTTCATACACATGTGCAAGTGCATGAGAGGTGAAGGTAGATAAAGGACATCCTGCATTGATGTCCTTTGACCAGGTCCATACATTCTAAGTCGAGAGCAAAATGATAAGATTATTTAAAAAATACCTAGATCATGTTAGATTTTTTTGTAGTTTTTTTTGGTACCAGGGACTGAACTTGGGACCTTGCGCTTGCAAGGCAGGCGCTGGAGCCCCTGAGCTAAATCCCCAGCCCGATCATGTTAGATTTTTAACAAAAAGGGGGTAGGGGAGAGAGAATCTGTATTATCCCTAAATAATATTGACTCTGTTTTGCAGACAGATGTTAACACTGTTTCCTTAGGATAAGAATTTTATGTTTGAAACAGAATTTAGAATGCAGTGTAATAATAACAGATCTGTATTAGAATTCCTTGGTGTTATTTCTCCTGGTCACAATCCATGCTTGTTCTTTCATTTATGAGGCTATATCTGTGAGAGTCTTTGTAAGTCTAATCTCAGAAACTCCTTGTCTCCTATCATTGTAGCATTTGAGGACCAGATAGATAAATTTTAGCTAGTGCCCTCCAACTCTCAATTGTACAATTCTATAAAAGAATCACAATCGGGTATTTTATAAGGAAGATACTATTCTGTTATCTTTAACAAATGTGTGTGAACAATGAAACTTGACTTTTTGAAAGCTTAGAAGTGCAACATTAATGTTGAGCCTTTATTTTTATTGAAAATGAGGTTTAAGGACTTTTTTTTTACTCCTGTATAAGCAACTTTTAAAAAATATATTACCTCTGCACTGTCAAATCAGTGTAAACATGTGCAGTGTGCTTTTTAGCTATTTTGCTAAGTGTGGTCTGGTGATTCAATGGATGCTGTCAGTACATAGAATAAATCACAAAATTCAGAGTAGAGCTAAAGAAAATGTGGAGAAATGCAGTGAGTACACATTATAGAACAAACCACAGTTCAAAAGTTTACCTGAGAAATACCAAAGATCAACATTTTAGAGGACTAAGTATTGACTGAAGAATTGAAAGATGATTCTTGACAGCTTATTGAGTAGCTGTGTCTTATTTTTTTCACTTCTGATAAACTCTTTGAGCTTCCTGATTATCTCACAGAAATACTGTTGTTACCAGAAATGAAGGTAAGCATTTTGAACTTTCAGTTTTGACACTAGCAAAGAAAGAAAAGAATATATGCTATAAATTAGCTGGTAATGTCATCTTTCTTTGATATCAGAATCAATATTTTTCTTTTCCTGGTGTCAAAATTCATGTAGTACTTAAACTTCAAATTTATGTTTTTGGATCATTGGATATTGAGAAAAGTCCAATTATGAAAAACTGTTCTTGTTAAAACATTATATGAAAGAACAGGGTTATATTTCAAACATTATTTTAAATACCTACCATTTTAATATGAAAGTAGCCAATTTTTCTCCCAAGAAAATAAATCCATATTTACAAATTAGTGATGGGGTAAAGTATAATGATGTAAAATATGTAGCTAGCATAAAGCTGAAAACAAATTTTGTGTCATTATCCCCAGCCCCAACACTAGTTGACTTAGGCATTTCAAAATAGATTAAATTATGCCATATTTGCACTCTCATATATTTTTACTCTTGGGTTAAAAACATACTCAAAAGCAGAGCACAGTCTGGGGACTAAGAAGGAGTGAGGGGTCCATTCTCCATCCCACCTGTGCCAGGGCCATTTCCTCACGTGTACAGCACTAGGTGAAGAAAGACCAGAGGGTCTTAAATAGTCTGCGCCTGCCAAGGGCCAGACAGAGAAGGTTGATAACGCTGCGTCACCATCTAAGATCAGAAGCAGCTTCTCCACTGATGGGAGAGCTCCGTTAATGCTCTCTTCTTTCTGGCAAATGCTGTGGGACTTTTCAGGTGAGGACAGAAGAGGAAGCACAGTTGGAAGAAGGGGCTGTTTGCCCCCAAAGTTAAATACCTGGTGGCCTCTGTCTGCCATTATTGTTGAGGGGCGGTAGTGGGATGTACTTCCAGGGTTTGTGAGATTTATTTGTTGTGCCTTTAAGTTCTTAAAATTTTTATCCTCTTTTATTTTAAAGTCTTAGACTGTCAAACTCTGGGTCATTTCTGGTGCTTGCTGATTGATACACTTATGTTTATTTGCCTTTTTCTCCCTGTGTGTGATTTAATTTCACAGAAAAATTCCTTGAGAGTAGAAGGGGATAATATTTATGTCAGACATAGCAATTTAATGTTGGAGGTTTGTATAATCTAAGAACACCATTCTGTCCTAATGGCTGCCAGGCTGCTGTGGACGGGAGGTCACGCACAGGCTCGCTGGCAGCTTTCCTCAGGCACAGTGCATGAAATGCATGGGGAGATGAAGCTGGGCTGCATGTTACCAGGCCCACTTGGTTCCTGTCCGGGGTGGAGGGAGAAATAGACCCACTGCATTCTCAGAGTGACAGCTGGGAGAAAGCTTTGTGTAGTCAAATGAAAAAGTGGATCCTTTAGTCTTAGGGTTTCTATTAGTAAACCTCCTTTCCTAATGGGGTAGATTTCTAGGGTATAGAATTTGAAGTAACACAATCCCATTTGATACATATTAAGTAGAATTGGTGTTTATCTGCCATTAAATCATTTGTCTCTTATCTATGCCCATTTCCCCCAGTCCCTAAATTCCATGTAACTAGGAATGTGGTCCACTTAAAATATTGTGTGTGAATATGTATATTAATTAATGGAATTATTTTGATTAGAAAGAAAGGAGAGAGAGGGAGATAGGGAGAGGAGAGAGAGAATGTGCACACGTGAGAGAGGATGCCTAATCACCCATGTCACGTGAGAACAATTGTTCTTTCTCCCGCTAGGGTAGGTAGTATGTGGCAGTGTGTTTAGTGAAAAATGGTAGCTCTCAGTAATCTGACTAATCTGGTTGCTTTTGGCAGCTTTGATAACTGTTGAAAATGTGTTTTTGCTTAACTTACTAAAATGCTGTATGGTGTAATAAGTAACATTGCTTTGAATAAATGCAAGAAATGTGCCTGATCTCAAGCCACAGTCATTTTCCCTTGCCATGCAAAGATTTTTAGATTTTCCTGAGTTTTTGCAAATGGCTATAGAAGCTCACAGATGAGCTACTATGCTTGTGCATGAATATGAGTTACCTAATTTTATCAGATGCATGACCTGTTCCTTTGGGAGTGGGACAAAAAGCTATAATCTACAGGTGGCCCTTTGATTTTTGAAACATCAGAAAACATTTAAAATTCAGTTGAAACAGTTTCTTAAGCATTAGTTACCATATATACCATTTGTTAGAGACAGTCGGAAAAAATCCCACTAATACCGTTTGTCAGGGCCTGCTTCAGTGAAAACCATCCTAGTAGTTTCCTCCCATCTTTGTATAAGGAATATTTGATGTGTGCAGTAGCTGAGCCCCATTTTTCTGCTTGGTGCTATCTGAGACCAGTATGTGATTCATTATTTTATAGTAAGACCAAGCAGAAGCAGCCTCTGGAGGCAGTTGTTATTATTTTTTTAAGGATTAAAAACCACCACTGGAATTTCCTGACAAAAGTCAGTCTTTGATTTTTCCTTTTGTAGGGGGTGATCCTGGACTGGCTTTGCCCTCAGTGCCAGTGTGCTTCTGAGGATCCCTCTCTGTTTCTACTTGATTTACTATGTTCTGGAATACAGGGTTAGAGTAGCCCCAGTCAGTTAACTGTGCAGGAACAAAGTCAGGCTGCAATTTGTCTTCAGGAAGAGAAAGATTATTAGCCATTTTTGACAGTGTGCTCCATGGCTTCCTTCTAATAATGTGTAGAATTTGAAAGTTCTACAGAGAAATTAAAACTCTTTAAAATGCAAATAATGAAAAATACACATTGGCTTTATTTTCAGTAAAGGCAAAAATATATATGGCTTTTGAGACTTGGCATTTTTCTTGCTTTACTATGTTTTTTTAATCATAAGTTTGCTTTGTGTTACTTTTTATTTTTGTCCTACTGGGTTTTTTCCTTTTGGATTTTTTCCCCCTTACGTTACATATTGCTAGGACCTGGATAAAGCCCAGGAGGACATACTGAAACATCAGGCTAGCATTAGTGAACTCAAGCGCAATTTTATGGAATCCACACCTGAGCCGCGCCCTAACGAATGGGAAAAACGACGTATCACACCTCTGTCCCTACAGACTCAAGGGGTATGTCACTAGCTGTTTGTTGGCCGTATGTCTTGCTCTGGTTGTTCAGTAAAACTCAGGTTGTTAATCATCTTGTATGTTGATTCTCAGAAGTTAGAAAATAGTCTCATTTCTTTTTGTAATTGCTAACAATTTTTAAAATACTAAATATTTATTAACAATGTAATATTTATTGGCCTAGTTCTTAGGTAAATTGTATGAGTTTCAAAATATTTTTGAAATATTTTCAGGGTAATTTGACTTTTATTCAGGTCATTTATGAGTTAATGAATTTACTCCTAGGACAATTAGAAGCTTACATAATAGTTGTTTTGTTTAAGATTCTTAGTTATTGACTTCTAAAATAAGGACATTTACTTAGTAAATAAAATTTAAAGGAATGTAGATCATATTTTACAAGGGTTTAAGGCCATTACTTTGAGGATAATGAGTTAAAACTTTACTTTTAGAGATTGAAAAGCCCTGTTGAAAACTTGTAAAATGTTATTCAGCTTAATATCAAAATTTCTAGTAATGGTATATAGAATAATGTTTTGAAAATGTTTTCAAACATAATGTCTCTACAAACTCAACTTTCTTTCCATGGTTTACTTCTTCCCACCATAATATGTTTGCCTTAGAATATGTCCACAAAATATTTCTCTATCCATTCCCATTTGTATCTCTTCCTTTCTGACATCCCCACTTCTCTCCTGGGTTTGACCAGGAACCTCTGTGGGCTCATCCTTCTTGTACTATGTTTAACCTACAGTGTAAAAAAATCATACAAAAATGTTACATTACAGTTTCATCCTTCTCTTTGCAGTGTCTACTATGGCCTGAATGTTGCCAAATTGAACACATTTAATTTAGATATTCTTGTGCTATTTTCATTCACTTCCTTAAAAGGCAAAGCTGTTGTTTTGAGTTTCTTTTTTGACACCAAAAGGAAAATATCGCTTTAAGATAGATGAGCAAAAATAATTGCTGAACTAAAAAACAAAACTTACAAGAATATTAAGACTTTAAACACTATGGGTATTAGGATCTTGTGAAGTTGGTTACCATTTAAATCCTTATTTTTAGAGATTGTGAAGATAATGGTAATGTCAGCAATCTACTCTAAAATGTTTCTCGGAAAACTGATGAAACATTAAGGTTTTGGCCTTCATGTGCCTGTCCTTCTGGCTGGTTCCACTGACCCCTCCTCCAGTTGTTTTGTATGTGTGTTGCTCTAGGTGTAATGTATGTGTCTTGTTTGTTGACTCTGTCTATTGTTTGAAACAATAGAGAAAAGGAGACCATCTTTTCAAGGATATTTTATCCATGAAGGAGAAGTACCTGGTGGCAACCACATGGACAGCTGAAGAAAAAACCCAGGAGGCAGACAAGGTGTTCACCTTGCATCCTTGGATCTACTCTTGCTTTTTCCCCTTTCCATTTATTTCTTTCCAAAGCTGTATATATTCCTTTTTTCTTATGTGTCAATCTGAAATTTTTTTGAAATAATTTTTTTTTTCTTCTTTTTTGGTACCGGGGATCGAACTTGGGTCCTTGTGCTTGCGCAGCAGGCGGCAAAACCACTGAGCTAAATCCCTGGCCCTGAAAAAATTTTTTGAGTGTTTAAAAAGTCAAGTCCCCATGTATAGAAGCATAGAATCATTGGGCAGACACACCATATTGCACAAACATGTTGCTTAAAAATTCACATTTTGAAATGTAGAAGTATGAACCATTTAGGGATAAATGGTCCTAATTTGATGTGTGTGGCTAATAGTTGGGAAATGATTGTTTCATGAGAAAATGCACTGTGCAGCACGTATTCATACTGTTGTGCTGTTAAGATAGCAAATTACATGTACTTTAGGTTACTAGCTTAATAATTACATGGAAACTTTTTTTGAATTTTCACTTTCAAGATTCCTAATAGAAAACAAAAAAGATTTTGATGCACCATAGGAGCTTTTCTATCCATCTGTGCTTCTGTATATATAAAATACTGGCATTAGTGAGAAAGTTAGCTTTCTGTTAGTTTTTACATTCTCATTCGTCTGTTTCTTCTGATTTTGCTTAGCCAGCTGGTCAGCCTGGAGAGCTTAGTGTGTGGTGGAAGAGATAGACAGCAATTAGTAATAAGAGAATTTCAGGTGCTGAGAGGTAAGTGTTCAGAAAGTGATGTACACTGATATGCTAGAAGGAGATTGGTCAGGAGGAGATGGCATTTCAGATGAGACTTTAATGATGACAGAGAGTGTATCTGTCAGCTTTCCTGTTGCTGGACAAAATACCTGATGGCTGCAACTTAAAAGAGTAGAGGTGTATTTTGACTCACAGTTTCAGAGGGTTCATTCCATGGTTGGTTGTCTGCAATGCAGAAATGGCATAGTGGACGTTGTAGCAGAGGAAAACTGCTCAACCCCATGGCAGCCAGGAAGCAGAGTTGCAGAGAAGGGCCAGAGTGAGAGAGGTACCCTCCAATGTCCTCAGTGACCCCCCCTTCCACTGGACACTACCCCCTTATAATAGCACATTCACTTAGGCATGCAGCAGTGGATGATTATAGCATTCCCATGAGTCAGTCGTCTTTTGAAAACCACATCTCTGAACACATGAGACTTTGGGGATCATTTTAGACCTAAAATATAATGAAGTAGACATTCAGTGATTTTTCCACATGCAATGAAGAACAGATGCAACAGTGCAAGGCAAGGACTAGTTTAAGGAGCTGAAGGCCAAATGACAATGGCTTAGTGAACATGAAGGAAGGAAGGGTCAAAGAGGTTAGACCTCAGATGATAATCAGGGTCCTAAAGAGCATGTTTCTAGTTAGGATGGCATTACAGCGGTGATGGGATACCACTGGCAGTTTTTAAGATGAGCAGTGTGTCAGATGGAATTCCTTCTCTCACTGTGTAAGGGAAGGATTATAGAGGGTGTGAATAAGCACAGGTCAGTAATGAAGAATAAGTGTTTCCTTCCCGCAAAGGAGATTTTGTTAATCAGTAGAGAATATCAGAAATCACAGTGAGGTGGGAGAAGAGGCAAAATACATGGAAATTCTCTCAAGGACCTTGAGGTCCAGTCAAGACGAAGTATTTCTAGAGCATTCTAGTGACAGACTTGATGTCGTAAAGCTGAAGCAGACTTACGTGCATTAAAGGTTAGTTTGAAATCCAAAGCCAATTAGACTGCATATAATAAGGATTTTAATATCCCATGCTTTGAAATAGTATTTTTAGAAATCCATGTTCCAAAAACTAATTGAATGGCACAATTTTATCTTTTTTTTTTTTTTTTGGTACCAGGGATCGAACTCAGGACCTTGCGCTTGTGAGGCAGGCGCCGGAACCACTGAGCTAAATCCCCGGCCCAATTTAATCATTTTAAAGTGATGTCCTTGGACTTTTTGCAGCTAGGAACTGGATTTTTGGTGAGGATGTTTAAAATCATCATTTTTCTGGATCTCATGTTTTAGGAATGTTCGATATAAAATGTTTTATAGGAGTTACAATAATGTAACTTTGTTAGTCAGCTTTTTGTTGCTCTGACTAATACCTGATATAAAAAATTTAAAGGAGGAAAGATTTCTTTGGGCTCACAGTTTCAGAGGTTTTAGTCTGTAATAAGCCAGTTCCCTTGCTGGGGTGTGAGGTGAGGTGAAACATCATGGCAGGGGATGTGGCAGCTGGGAAGTGCAGAGGACAGGAAAAGAGCTGAAGAAGAAGGGATGAGGGCCAGGTACAGTCCCCAGGACCCGCTCCCTTTAATTAGGCCCACTTCCAAAGTTTTCAGTGTCTCCCAGGAGTCCCAGCGAATTGCCATCTGGTCAGTACGTCAGTCCTCCGATGGAGTTAGAACCCCTGTGACCCCGTCATGTGCACACAGGCCCACGTGAGACTCCGGGGAGACAGCTTAGATCTAAGCCCAGAACAGCGGTATTTATATGAAAGTTCCCTAGATGGGTTATCTGTACTTGAAGTTACTTTTTCCCCATTCTTTCCCTCTTTAATGCATATAGAAAAATATATGCTTAACTTGACACGTGTATGGATTGTTCTAACTACAATCATCCATTCAACCAAGAAACATTTATTGACCATGCATGTTAAATATTTATATTATATTATTACATTTGGCTTCAGATAACATGCCACTGCTATTAATTGGAAGCACCTGAACATTTGAGTCTACTGGGGTTGACTTGAACAGAATATCTTTTCAGTTTGTCTTCACATCTTCCTTTTGCTTCTTTTATAGGATTTCTTTTTCATCTTTAAATTATAATCCTTAGTGAAGTACAAGACTTTAAATTATGTATAAGTATATAATTTGACCAAAATTTCTAAATTCTCATCACACAGGTTTTTAAAAAGCAGTACTAGTTTTACTTTTTAAAAAGTAAATATATTGAATTTATTTATTTTTGAGACGGGGTCTCACTTACGTGGCCCAGGCTGGCCTCAAACTCACAAAGATCCTCTTGCCTCAGCCTCCTGAGTGCTGGGATTACAGGTGTGTGTCACCACACTCGGCCAGCTGTACTAAACTTTGAATGCTTCACTTTGAAAATGAATGATTTTGAAAGTAGAACAGAAAGTTGGAAAGCAAGTCATTTAGTCTTTTGTGGGTAAATGCATCTTGTGCATCCTCTGATACATTGTAAAAATCATGACAACCTTACGCTTGTATGTTCTGTCATGAGTCTGATAGAGGTTACCTACGCTGTAGCTTAAAGATACTTCTGAGGGTTTCCTGTGAGTAATTAAATGCATGGCACTTCACGCCCCAGTGGTCACAGTCTGGGAATGGACTTCCTTTTCACCTCCATCCCTCGGTGTGATGTAACGCTGGGGATTGTAACTGAGCTTAGTGCAGAAGCTGCTTCCTCTCCTGAATATTGAAAATGCTTACCCACCTTCCCCTCCTCACTCTGCTTAGCTCACTGTCTGAAAGGGTATCTCGTAAAAGTCATGTATTTTTTCTTTTAAGATTTCACAAGAGTGGGTTTTATTAGGAAGTCTTTTCACACACTTCTGACATGAGGGAGAACATCATAGTGACGGAAAGTAGTATTTCAGGTGTAGGCGCCACTAGAAAGGCCATTGTATGCAGGACAAGGCCGAGGAGCTCTGTCTGGCAAGACTGTGTGAACTTGTGTTTAGTGGGTAGGTAGGTTGTGCTCAATTTGTGATAAAGCATCAGTGATAAATGAGCAGTTGTAGCTGGTTTCTGGAGGCTACTGCTATCAGAGATTTCCAGGCAGGGTAGAAGCCCTGGCATTCAGGCAAACTTCCACATAGGCCGGCTGCAAAATCTTCAAAATTCTTACCTTTCTTTCATTTTATGCTGTTCTGTTGTCTTTCTTGTGTAACCTTTCCTTTCTTTCAGTAGGTCGCTGCTGTCTTTCTGATGTATTAATTCTTTGCTCTTCCTTTTCTGACCTTTCTAGAGCCTAGAAGAGGAGATAACAACAATTTTGTTTAGTGGAAAGGGCTTTTCTGATAGCGTGAAAGCCGCCTTCCCTTCAGCCACCACTTGGACAGCAGAGGGCGCTGTTGTGAACTCTAATGCACCTTCTAGAGAAAAGCTTTCCTTCTCCCGGCCCTTCTCACATTTGCCTGAGGTGCATTTTACTTTGTTTCCCTGTTACTAAAAGCCACATAAGAGAGTGATTTTCACTTTTTGACTATTCAGACACCCTTCCTTGCAGTGCTTTCACTGCTGAAAGTAACTGTCCCTGGGAGAAACATTCAAGGGACGATGGCCGAATTTGGACATGAGGAAAAGAACTAGATTGGATGTTTCTCCTGCTTTTAGTCAGAAGCCAAAAAAACAAAGACTGCCTAAATTCAGAGAATCATTGAAACCATTACAGCTCAGAGCCCAAGTTATTATGCAGAAGGAAAGTCACAATAAAGTAGAAATTTAGTGTGCTTTGCACAGTTCAACCCAAATTTCAACCCAAATCTTCTGATTTATTTTTTAAATTGTTTATGTGGAAAAATTGAAATACCTACCATACTCAAAGAAATAAGTGTTTTTGAATGCCACTGAAGGATTCCCTGAACTTGGGCAGAACCTATTAAATCTTTTGAGGTTGAGTAATAATAGTAATGATAACTCACTGACCTATAATAATCATGAAATGTGTGTTTTAGAAATGTTCTGATCACTGAATATCTTTATTTATAAAGGAGTTTACAAGTAGTTTCCTGCTTATCAAAAATAGATCCAGAGTTTTTCAGTTTAATATCTAAAACCTCCAGATTATCCATGAAACTAGAAGGATGATTCTCTTGCTCTGTTGGTCATAGGGTTTATGCAGTATGAATTTTGGGCAGCTTACACATGCTGTCAACACGCATTTCAGAACAGCTCAGCAAGTCACGGAGGGTCTGTGAGTGCATGCTGGTAGTGCTGCCCGAAAGTGTGCACTTCGAGCCCTGTTAACTCTGCGTGGCCTGCTGCGGCAGGTGAATGTGAAGCCCCGCTGCTGGTGCTGTAGGACACAGCTCAGTACAGTTAGTGCATTGGCAGCGTCACCATGGGTAGCACCCAGAGGGGACCGAGGCAAAGTTCCTCTCCGTATTCAGCATCGAGATGCTGTCTTGAATGAATAGGCCTACTGTCTCTCGCTGAAGGATTTCTAATTAGATTACTGGTCACAGTGCCACTTGAATGTCAGCCGTTACACTTATTTGTAGCAATATAAAATAACCTTTTTTTTATTAGTGTCAAGAAATTTCAAGCTTTAAAAACCAACTTCTGCAAGAAGGCATTTCTACCCTAGCTAATAATACCACAGCACAATAGTTTATATAACTAATGTATTCAGTCAACAGGTATTTCTGAAAGATTTAACTACTGCATTACTCAAATGGAATACATTAATTTTCTCCCAAGAAGTAAGGACCTGTAGAGGATAAAAATGAGCATCTCCAGTAGTAACCTTCTCCACTTGAGACTTTAAAGATGCTGAGGAAGGAGTTATAGAGTCCCAAGAGGAAGCACTAGGGATACCCTTGACTCTGCCCCAGTGTATAATCCCCTTCTGCTGATCAGACTAGATTGGGGTGTTAGTGACCATCTCTGAAACGAGCATTTTTGTTACTAACTGTCAAAGACCAACTTTAAGTTTGCCAATCAAAGCTATTTTTAAAATTTTTATTTAATTTGTTTTTTTAGCAATAGGGTCTCAAGCCTGGCCTTGAACTCCCAGTTGTCCCTCCTCAGCCTCCAGAGTAGCTGGGATTACAGGCGTGTGCCACTGTACCCAGCTCAAAGCTCTTCTTTTTTTTTTGTATCAGCGATCGAACTCGGGTCCTTGCGCTTGTGCAGCAGGCACCGAAACCACTGAGCTAAATCCCCGGCTCAAAGCTCTTCTTTTAAAAGTGCTCTCATTCCCCCCAAAAAACACATGCCATTTCCTTGATGTTGTATTTATTTAGGAACCAGGGCTCCAGGCTAAACTCTAGTATCTGATTGAAACCAAAACTGTTTGTTGAATAAGTTTAAAAAGTTTTCCAATTTATCTTTAAAAAAATCAGTAAGCTTTGGTATAATTCCATATTTTTATAACAGTTTCAACCGCATTAGTGGAGCTAATGTGGGTATAACTCTATTGTAAAAGCATTTTATTTCTTTGTGCAGATGCCGGCTGTTTTTGTTTGTATTTGCAAACTTTTTGGCATTTGTCTCGATTGTCCTCTGTGTGACTTTGAGCAAAGGTTTTTGTAGCTGCTGATTCTTGCTGTTCTGTCTTTGCAGTGTCTGATGTCTGTCCGGTGGTGTTGAGGTAAAACCGTATTGACTCTGTGTCCTCGGTTGCTTTTTGTTCCGCAGACACGTGCTCCCGCGTCAGAAGGGCCTTGCACTGGAGCCAGGGATGATGTTAAGGTTCTCCCCTTTCCATGTTCACACCATTGCCCGCCGCCTTCCCTCCCCTCACGTTTGCCCGCTTCCCTTCCAGTCAGCCATCATAATCATCTTTGTTTTCTCCATGACATGAACCTGCCATCCGTTGATTTGGGTTTCCATTGTTTTTATTTATTCATATATTTTTGTTTTCCCTCCTCCATCTTTTTTTTGTACAGAGTTCACATGAGACTCTGAATGTAGTGGAGGAGAAGCAGCGGGCAGAGGTTGGGAAAGATGAAAGAGTAATCACAGAAGAAGTGAATGGTAAAGAGCTATCACCTGGGAGTGGTCCTGGGGAGATGCGTAAGGTGGAGCCTGTGGCACACAAAGACTCCACCTCCCTGTCTTCTGAGAGCAGCAGCAGCAGTGAGAGTGAGGAGGAAGACGTGGGCGAGTACCAGCCCCAGCAGCGTGTGACCGAGGGCACCATCAGGGAGGAGCAGGAGGAGTGTGACGAAGAGGCGGAGGAAGCGCCTGGCCGCACAGCCCAGGTAGTGGAGAGGGAGGAAGCGTTGCCCGAAGCCAGCCCAGACAGACACGCAGGGCCCGGTGTGAGCCCCGTAGACACCGAGGCCCAGGACTGTGTAGGTGCCCCAGAGGGGACTGGAGAGAAGAGTGTAAACGAAGGCCCTGTTAAGCAAGACGGGAGAGAAGAGACGGAGGAAGAGCAACAGAAAGTTAACGGAGAGGTGTCTCATGTTGACATTGATGTTTTGCCACAAATTATTTGTTGTTCAGAGGTAAATGGGAGTCTGGAGCGGGAGCTAAACTCTAGAGTTTCTTCTCAGGTGGAGACACCTGCCTTTCTCCTCCGCCTGTCCTCCCGATTCTCCTGCACCTTTTTCAGCAAGAATCTGATTTTTCTCTCTTCTGGGAAGAAGGGGGAAGTCACTGCTTTGTAGATTTTCTGCCAGCTCAGTTCATGGTTTCTGGCTTTACTACAACTGGATCACCTGTAGGGTAAACTTTCCTACAACTACCACATCATTTTTTCCTTCCCCTTTCCCATTTAAATTTTTCTTTGCATGTTTTGGGTGCTTCCAACTGTTTTGTCGTAGTTGAACTCTTCCTTGCACTAAATGCCTTTTTCATTGGTTTCATACAAAGATGTACATGTAATGTCAAACAATGGTCAGTGCGAGTGTGTGTGCTCCTGTTGTTATGATTGGATTTGACCTTTTTGCCTCATTCTCTCACTCCTCAATCTAAGATTCTTGGAACCAGAGCAGGCTGTGATTGCCATGGTGCCCTGGAAGTGGCACCTGACAGCGTCAGGAGCATTATTTCTTGAATGCTGCTGTGATTTCTGTTTTTAGATGCCCGAGATGGGATGGCTTGGTTAAGAGCTGTTTTCTTCCTTCTGGACAGCCACAGGCTAAATTGTTCCCTTCTCATTCTGTCTTAAGGTCAATTCTGGATTTTTTTTTTTACATCAATTCTGGATTTGATTTTGTTTTGTGGATGATTGACATTGGATATAAGTCTTTTCCTTTCCCTTTTAAGAAAGAGAACTTTGCCGAGTCATCTTTGATGAAGTCTTGGTCAGTAAGTTTAGTGTCTCTCGCTTGAGAGTGAGTTAGGGTTGGAGAATGTGTTTAACTCTGAAATGCCCACGTGCTTGCTCTCTTTTGAGAGGATGACAAATCTCAGAATGACTGACTCAAAATGATTAATGAACTGTTACCATGTTGCCTTTAAACATGTTTCACTTCAGAGAAGACATTTCAGGAGTCTTTGAACACTCTGAATTATTATTTTCAGCATTTAATACCTGTTGGAAGTTTTCTCTAGAAAGTCTGTCTTTGGGCTGGGGATTTAGCTCAGCGGAACCATATCTGCCCTGAAAGCACCAGGTCCTGAGTTCAGTCCCCAGTTAACCACCCCCGCCAAGTGCTGTAGTATTTTTGTAATTATATTGTAGATGAACAGCAGATTACAATGTTAACAGGCCATGGAACCTCTCCATCCTTGCTTTAAATTATTCAAAGCATTCATGCAACACCCGTGGAGTAATGTAGATAAAACATTGTAATGTATGTAACACAGAAGAAACACTGTGAATTTTAGACAAGTGCAATTACAAACAATCATAGTTGAAGATATCTTTTTTGAAAATGGCATCTTTTGAGGGAGAAGAGCAATGTTAGCCAACCTAGCTTGTGTGCCAATTAAGAACAATGAGCCTTCACATAAACCATGTGGTCCTTTAAACTGTAGTAAAATTAGAGATGTGTGTCATTTAGCATAGTTCATTCTGTTTTCTCTTCAGTGTCATTAATTACTTTCTAAAAAATAAAGTGTGTGCACAGCAGTGTAGTAGATATGAGACTTCCTAATTTGAAGGGTAACGTAGTTTAGGGAACCATTATGTTAGCTTGTCTTTCATGTGGACACATTCACGTGTATATACAGAGTACATGTGTATTTGTCTGGATATGACATATTTGACAGAAAGCTTTCTTTTATGTCTTTGTTTTAAATTATTTGCTTTTACTCTTTTCTTATGTGCATGAGTGTGTGTTTGGATATATTTCTTACAGTTCTCTTTGAAGGTTCCTTTTGGCACTTCTGCTTCCTTACCTCTAGAATTTATTTTTCCCTTCCTTTTCCTCTTTAGCCACCAGTGGTAAAAACAGAGATGGTAACAATTTCTGATGCCTCACAAAGGACAGAAATCTCCACCAAGGAAGTCCCCATTGTGCAAACTGAGACCAAAACCATCACGTATGAGTCTCCACAGGTACAGAGCACAAGACTTGCCTGCTGGCATTCATTTTTACTCAGCATGTCTGTTTGCATTTCTGTTGTCTTCTCCCAGTTTTCATGTTTCTGACTTTGACATAGCTTTTCCCATCTCCATTTTATAACCAGGCACCACCAACAACATAACTTGGTATGCTGCTGTCTTGGTATACAGCAATCAAATTTGTGACCCAGTAATTACAGGAGGACCTTACATATGACTATGTAGGATAAATAGCATAATTTGTGTTTTTATTATCGTAAAGCATTTCTGGCTTGATGTATCCAAAATATTCATCTATGCTTGGAAAAAATTGTTTTGCAAAATTTACTGAGTCTGACATACTTTGTGATTCGTAGTGTATAGGCTTTCCCCCTTGCTCTAGCTCAGTTAAAATAGATTCAATCAACTCACACTTTCTTGTAAGTAACACACATATGCGCACACACACTCTCTCTCTCTATGTCACATTGAGTTATTTTCTTTAGCCAGGTAGTCATTTGTGTGTCATCTGTGATACTATGTCTCTAAGTAATTATCAGATTTGTGTGTTTTAAGTCTTCAGACATTGGTTCTGTAAAGTTTTGAAATAAGTATTAAAATGTCTAACCTAATGAGCAACAAAAAAGGGAAAATGTTCATTTCAAAAATGGAACTGTTAAAAAATATATATGATCAGTATTTTCTCCTCTGAGCAGTTTAACCTGTGATGGGATTATATCATGGTGGAGTATGGCAAGGTAGTGCCCTCTCAGAGTAAGTTTTAAAAGGCTGTGTGCATGGGTGAAACATTTCTTGAAGTTATTTTGGGCACAGTTTAATCTGTGTGTGTGTATAAATCCCACATAAACACAAACAGGTTTCTTATGAATGTGTCTGCGTTGAGGGGGTGATACTTGTGTGTCTGTGTTGTGCTGTGTCCTTATAAAGAAATACAGATGCATGAGCCAAATTTGAGAGAAGTTTCCTCTTAATTTACAGATAAGCTCTAGCTACTCAAGTTGTTTTGTTTTGTCAATGCCAAAACACATGACAGATATATTTGGTGACTTTATACTGTTAGACTATTAATTTGCTTCATTATTTGTCTTCTTAAACTCTAGAAACTTCTGCCTCTTCTTATATCAAGGCACATTAAAATAAACCTATTAATATATATGCATAGGATTATATATAATAGAGCATACATGCACATGAATGGTATTAAAATATGCATACTCATGTATATGCTTTTATAATATATAAATCCTTATAGGAACAATGTAGTTTTAAAAATTCTACTAGAAATAAGCAAATAACTAAATGATGCCGGCTCAGTCTGTAATCCAAGAAAATGTTATCTATTTTTTACCCACCTGTGCTTATAAAATAATAACAAACTCAGCACTTGTGATCACTGTGGAAACTTCTCTGCCTGGCTGGCTAGTTTCTTTTTCTGGTGTCTGCATATGTTCCTCAAATTCTTTCGACTCTGGCGTAGTTTTCAATCCCACCTTCTACTTTGTTCTTCACCCTCTCTACCCGCAGGGTTGCTTCTCCTGGGTTGCTTTTAGCCTTCTGCCCGTCCTCTGTGAAATACCAGCCCCTCTCCGGGTCTGTAAATCACTACCGCAGGCATGCAGAGAATGAGTAAATGGCGTCTACTGCCAATCACATGCATTTCAAAAGGTGCATGTTCGACAGGGTGGGTTCTTCTCTGACATGGGGGGAAGTAAAGCATCACTTTGTATTTTTCCTCCAACTATTCAAAGATTGACAGCGGGGCTGTTGGTGATTCGGGCACATTACTGAGTGCACAAACCATCACATCTGAGTCCATGTCGACAACGACAACCACGCACATCACCAAGGTAAAGCAACCCAGGGGAATCTAGGGAGAGCGTGATGCATTGCAAAAGGATCTTTTCTGAATTGTTTCTGTGTTCCTAGACAGACTTCCGAGTAATAGTGGAATTAAAATTATGCTCCACTGACAAATGTATTTAGACCAGATTGCAATTTTGTAAAGTATAGGGGGTAAAAATGATACGAACAGCCATACTTAAGAAAGCCCCAAGAGCAGAGATATTTTAATAAAATTATAAGATGTACAATTAATAAAAGCAAAAATTTTATACAAATGAACCTGTGCTTTTACTTTTGTTAAATTGACCCTTCTGCCTAAAGCAAGTGAATGAAGACTATCATTCAAAACTTTCAACAAGTTGTTCCAATTATGTTAAATTCACCTAATTTACTTTGACAGTGGTATGTTGATTTGGAGCATTTTCCCAGATCATTCTCTAACTACTTAACACCAGATACCCAGTGGCTTGGCGGCCGCAGCCTCACCAAGGGGCTTAGATATTTATAAATAACCTGGCCTGCCCCAGACCTACAGAAACCTCGGTTTTTAGGAAGCTTCCAGGTGACTCTGGTGCTTAGGAAAGTCACCTCATTTCCAACTCGAGTCTTCAAATATTTTGTTCTGCTCCTTTTCACATTTGATTAGTACTTAGTGGTCTTTTACAACAATCATTACAAAAATAGCAAGAAACTTCGTGAATTAAAAACTGCCACGTCATGCAGGGTGCCACTGGTGCTCCCTGTAGAGCGTCTTCAGATACTGAAGCTAGTGCCGCGCTTTGCTCCTCCCAGGGCGTGGGTGAGAGGTGTGGAGGCGGGCTGTGTGCTCTGGCAAGACCACTTGCTGGGAGGTCAGGCAGAGGCCGCCCAGGCAGCCAGGCGCCATGAGGCGCTTCACCCCCGGGGCCCTCCCCCAGGCTCCTCCGCACAGCCTTTCTGCCGCCACAGCGGGAGGAGGCTGTGGTCAGACCACACATTTCATAAGTTTCACCCGCCTTCCCTATTGTCAGCCAAATCCAAGTCCTGTTATTATCACACTAGACCAGGTAAGTGGGATCACCAAATGAATTTGTATGATTAGTAGCTGGAGTATAACATCAAACAGTTTCCTAGACCTAAAACAGTTAAATTGTTAGAATTGCTTATAACTACAAATACCAAGCAATTATTTCTTCTTTCTCCTCTCCTTTTCAAAAACTGCCCAACTGGGAGTGAATAAACTCAGGAAATTGTGAAAATATCCCAGTGGAACTACTTGTAGTAAATGGCATTTGGCCCATTGTAACCTCTCCTAAATCTTGTTAGGTTAGTTTTATGGTTGCTTTCAGTTGAGGGATACTTCCGGTTGAACAATAGGACTGACTCTGTAGAACTTAGAAATACAGCAGTTACTAGAACATTGGTGTTCACCATTCAGTGTGTGTGGCCTCGTGGTGATCGGGAGGGCAGAGTGGGCTCCATCTTCTCCTCACTGTGTGAACATGTGTTAGTGATTGCTCTTTTTCGTTTTTGTAACCTTTAGACTGTAAAAGGTGGGATATCTGAAACAAGAATTGAGAAGCGCATTGTGATCACAGGAGACGCAGACATTGACCATGATCAGGTAAAGCCTGTAGGCTCTAGTTCTGCTTGCTGCGGTTGGCACCTGTTGGCAGGGCATGTCCCTGTGTAAACCCCTTCCCAGGACTCTCTGGTGAGGTCCAGCTCCTAAGGCAAACCTGAAGATACTTCAGTGTTTGGGTCCAGCTCTCCTGGCTCTTACTCAGCCTTAAGTAGAGATTGCTATTCATTTCACACTGGTTTTGTATGCACTTCCGGGTCAAAATAATCTGGAGGATTTCTGGCAACCATTAGGTATTCACATGGGGATGGTTTAAAGACATCATCAAATATTTAAAAGTGAATGCCAGTTTAATGACACTAGCTTCTAAAGACTGAAAAAGCCACTAAGCTTTCTTATGCCTACTTTTAGGAAGTTTTCAGTGTTTTTTACAGCTTAAGAAAACTGGCAAATAGCCAGTAACTACCAGGTGTTTTTCCCTGTTACTATTATTGGGGAGGAGCAAGGAGGGAGAAATAATCTGTAGCTTACGAAGTGAAAATTTGCATTAATTCTGAAAACCATTTTAAAAGAATCCTGCTTCTGTTCTGATGCTAAGCTCGGCAGAGCGCGTGACTTCAAGCAGGTGTGGAGGAGCTGCTGGAGACGCAGGGAGCAGCTGTCATTGTAGACTGTACTCCCAAGTGGCCGTGAGAGGTTTTTGTTTTATTTTTTTCCTGAGTGATTTCAAAAGGAGACCAAACCATTTTCTTTTTACAACTTGAAGAAAGGGAAAGAAATGTTCAGTGGACCATCTCAGCCGGGGAGGAGGAGCACCTGATGGTTACCCATCTTTGAACATAACTCTGAGCTCAGGAAAGTGAAATTTGGAGCAAAGAATTTTTTCCTTGAGAAAGAATCTGTATATAACCAGAGAGGAATGGATTGTCTCCATACCTAGAAAGAAAGTTGTTCTTCATTTTTTGACTTTTGTAAGCACGTTTGATTTGCATATTTCATTATTTTTACAATGTCTTGAGGTTATTAGAAGCTAAAGGATTGCTCTGACTCCACATTTTAACTTAGATGACTAGAAGGACTTAGGAGGACACTTAGCTCCTTACCATGGAGAAGAATTACCTGTGTGGATCACCCATATTTTTTAATAAAATAAATTTTCAATTTGGCAGTATGAAGTGACAGATTTCTCACAACCCTTATTGTTGCCATAATTCATATTTTACAGCATTTAGTTTCTTGTGCTTATATTATGGAATGAAAGGAATTACAGCAAACTGATTTCAAATGTGTTGGAAGATTTTGATGGCAATTTTTAGTTTTCTCTACTTTTTTATAGCTTTACCTTTTTTTCTTTTTTAATGGAATAGGGTTTTGCTTAGTAACTTTACAACTGACAGAAGCTATAATGCAAACAAGAAATGCAGTTATCCCCTTAGGCAGGTGGCAGAGGCAGAAGGAAAGGGAAAATTGTGCGGTTGCTTTTTTTTCAGATGCATGGTTTCTTTATGAGATCAGGTGTTCTCTGTCCTCGAAGAATTTTTGTTAAAGACTACCCTAGATTTGGTAGTTCTGTGGCATTTTGTGGCATTTTATTTTCCTTTTCTCCTCTTTACAAATAAAAGAAAAGCGTATTTCCCCTCTGAAAAAATAAGATCTTTTCACATTGCTGTAACACTTTTATACAGTTTACTTTCTGATTAAAACCAGAGAAACTCTGCTTTTCACCACCTGGACCAGGGAAGAGACCACAAACTACTGGCATCCCTTGGCCATCCTCTCAGGCAGCACTTTTAATTCTGTGTGGTTGTTGCTGCTTTTTAGGTTCTGTGTTCTCAAAGTTCACATTTTTCCTGCAGCATTTTAGTTGAGCAAATATTTTAGTTCAGACAATTACTGAGAGCCTGAGAGAGCAGAGATGAGGCTTGGTTCTGTGCCAGGGAGTCCCTAGTTTTTGGTGATGGCTGGTGTATACACCTGGCATACACTCAACATTTAACATTTCTTTTTTTCTTTTTTTTTGGTACCGGGGATTGAACTTGGGTCCTCACGCTTGCACAGCAGGCGCCGAAACCACTGAGCTAAATCCCCAGCCCAGCATTTAACATTTCTTCAGTTCATACAGCAAATCTTAAGACAGTCTCTACACCTTAGCATTAGTGTTGGGTTATAGGTAACAATGCTAAGGTGCAGAGAAGAGCTGTCTTCTCCGAATCTCACTGAGTACAAGCCTGGCATCCAAAACCAACATGTTTCTCCTGTGTTTACCACTATTTGAAAGTGGCCAGAGGAAAGGGAAGTTTGGGAAATGAGAAGCCTTCTTATAATGAGCAGTGGTCCCAACTTGCATCTTCCTCCTTCTGTCAGTGAAGCAGCAAGGCCACTGTCACCTGACTGTGAGCCCCATTTGATGAGTGTGCATGGGTTTTACTGTCCTGAGGTGGAGTCTATTCCTCCATGCATGGCTGTTTTCTCTTTCGATCCCGGCAGGCACTGGCCCAGGCAATCAGGGAAGCCCGAGAGCAGCACCCTGACATGTCGGTCACCAGAGTAGTTGTGCACAAAGAAACAGAGCTGGCGGAGGAAGGGGAAGAGTAACCAAGGTAAGAGGGCCCACCTCACTGTGGCCTTTCTCATGGCTCTTCTGTGATTGCGGGAAATGGAGCTTTTTATCAGCGTCTCTGTTTCCTAGTATTGGAATTTATTTTAGATATTTTAATCTTCAAGTGCATCTGCTAAAGTACATATAATTCTAAGCTTTGTGGCCTGTTGGATATGTCATGTCAATAACTATGATTTCTTTAGGGGCTGCTAACAATAGACATTTATGATTTACATTACTGTTTATTAAGTATATCAGTTTAAGTTATGTCAATAACCCTTGGAGAAAGGTGCTGTTAACCTCATTTTAAATGAGAACTTGCCTTTTCTGTATAATGAAAAAGAGTGATTCATTTGCTTCCTATAAAGTAAACAGCATTCCAGCTCTGTTATTTGAAGAGTTCATCTTTCCCCATTTTTGGCATTTCAATAATTTTATTGAAAGGTATATCTCTTAGTACCAAACATAATGGTAGTTGATTAGGTTACCTCTGCCAACTCAAAACTAATACTGATGTTTTCAAAATATTGAAATATATCAGCCTTATGGTAAAACTGAAGTTATCCACAAAACACAGTTTACAAAAAGTTAGAGTATACTGTGGTTCTTTGGTTTATTTTTGAATGCTTATTTATCCATAACATGATGTCAAAATTGGTTACATCTATTCTGGATAAACTCAGGCTTCAGGCTGCACTAACCAAACAGTAACCAATGCATGTTAGTAGCGCTAACTATGTACATCTCCTTACATTGATTTTCTCACCTGGAGAATTCCAAACACTACCTCAGCAATCTCATACTTGTGGCGGTGCCTCCTTACTTTTCTTAAGACACATTATGGAAATTTGTGAAAGTATATTCTATTCCTTAAAAAAAAAAAACTGGAAGCAATAGCAGTTTTATAGAAACAGTCTATAGTAAAACCTGGAGTGCTTTATTTAGGCAGAACTTAGGGTAAAGCAAGTTTTCAGAGTGATAATTGATTTTGACTTACTATGTAGTAAAATAGGATATGTTTTTTTAATGGACCTAGATAGACGGAGGAAATAGATTCTGTATAGAAATTTTTATCATCGATACAAATGTCACCTATTTTTTAGAAGAAATATTAAAAATAGCTCAGTGAATATGCCAGACTTAGTAGGTCTGTATTTTGGCTTAATACAAAATGTTTGTTTGTTTTTTTCCCATTAAGTTAATTGGTACATTTTAGGTATAAAATACAGTTACATTCATCATTGGGATCTTGTACCATTACATAAGAATCTTAGTTCTTATTTTTTTTCCCCATTCCCCTGCCCTCCCTTCACCCTCTCCACCCTTCCCTATTTGCAAAGACTTTGTTTCCATTTTTTTCCTTTTCTCATATTTTTTCTTTTCCCTTCTTTCCTTTCCC